TTGATTATAGCTTAGTATTAGATAGCGTTCGACTTTTGTTTTATCTTTTGTTCTTGTCTATCTTTCTGTAATCTTGTTCACGTGGTTTTTAAAAAATAAAAAATAAATATCATTCCTTACCTAACCCAACAGGGCGGACATGCATTATATCACAATGTCGATCACTTGCCGATCATGATATAAGTGATATCACGTTAAATTTGAAGCTTTATTCCAAGCAATAAATGTTCTGACAATTTATGTTAAATTATTTTATTTAATAGTTTAATTTATCAATAAATTAATATAAAAGTATTGTGGCAAAATAAGGTGTGTTTCCAAAGTTAGATTTTACGTCAAATTTTCAATAATTAATATATATGCTATATATATATATGCCGATCATCTGCTAACGTGACTTTGAAGCTTCGGGCGAAGCCACAGATCTTTGGGCGAAACTTGAAACTTTTACAGTATATTATTTAGGTATTCAAGAATCAATGGCTAAAATAAATCTTGATAATTTTTGATAACCCAAAAGTTATCATTAAATAAATGTTTACAATTATTGTAAAATTTATATATTTTTGATATTTGACAAAATCTTTATGAATTATTTTAAGAACTAATTTATTAACAATAAATAAAATAAAGTAAATAAAATCGAAATTTTATACATTATTATGTAGAATTTGTGAAAAAACTAATTCATCTGTATTTTTTTATGTGATAATATTGGACAAGTGATCGGCAAAATGATCAGCAATATCGTGATAATATGGGGATGTCCGCCCTGTTACCTAACCCTAATTCTAACCCTAATTTTCTTACCTAACCCTAACTTTAATCATAAATTCCCTTGTAGGTGAGATGATTTTCGGCAAAATACGTCTGTCGGTGAGATAATTGTCAGTAAAATGATTGTCAGTAAAATCAATGCGACCTGGGAGGCGACTCTTTGTATATAGATGTTCTATACGCTTGTAATCTGCTGGTCTTCTTTCAGGAAGTCGTTCTTGTGTAAATTTACGTACTATGTAAAAATCATCTTCATCGTACGTATGGTTGAAGATGATTTCTTGATTCAATCTATTAATTGCGCACCAAGAGCCGCAAAAAATTCATTATTATTCCTATGATAATCCATGCCTTAACCATTCTCTAGCTACTTTTCCAGATGTATTTCTTCAGACTAAAATATGATGGAAGTTTTCAACAAACAATTGCAATTGAGATTTAAGAGTATTAATAATTGAGTGGATGTTGAATTGAAATCCAATATTGGATATCAGATATAAAAACAAGCATCACTTTGTCATAATTTTTTCGTCCAAACCTTCTTATTACTATCTATAAGCGACAGACAGACTCAGTGTATGAAATCTATTTGTGGAATTTGCGGAGCGCATCCTACTTTTAATTATACATAATTCTAGTTTGCGCATAGCGCAACTTATAATTTTAAAATTTTATATTTAAAAACTTAAGATTTTGCAGATACAGTATTAGGGTGTGCAAATTGGATTTGTTTTTGCGCAAATTGCATGTGACTTTTGTTGCGCATTGCGCAAAAAGTATTTGACTTGAATTTCATATCCAATAAATAAAATAGTTTTTGTATAAATTTATACCAAACGGGCTCATTGGCTCGAAATTAGCTCAAATTTATGTCCAAATTTAAGCCAATCTAGAGCCAATTATATACAGATGAGCTCATTCGGTACAAATTTATACAAAAACTATTTACTGGAATACACTGATAAGCGTCCTTCTAAATAATATAGAATATACATCCAATGTAACAGGAACCAAATTGTCTAACAAATCTATGAATGTGCGATACCCAAAATCTCTTGATACAGTTATATAATTTTTGTGCATTATAGCTAATTGCAAATCCGGTCATGTATTGTGAATAAAAAACACTTTAAGTAATACAGCATCAACGCCATTTGGGTTATAAATAATGGAATTGGTGCGACACTACTTGTGTTAAATGAACAGTTGCGTGATTGATAAATGTTTCATGATAAAAGAATTAAAAGTTAGTTTCGCTAAAAATAATTTTAATTTTTAAAATTAATATTTGAATGCTCATAAATTACAAAATACATACATAAGTTTTCTAGCATTCCCTATAAAAAAATTCTGGGAAAAACTCCAATAAATGATCATTTTTCTAGTTTTTATTCCAAAGAAACTCAGACATGTGATCATTTATCTGAAAAATTTTTATAGGGATTATCTGAATATATTTTTGAACTGTCTGTTCATGCGCTGCTCCTATTTATTTTCTTATTATTATATACAGTTTGATATGTCACGCTTATGCCCATACTTGAAAGAGTATTAATTCCAACTATTTGTACCAGCAGTACCGGTCATATACTACAATCAAATAGCAGCTTTATTTAGTCCACCAACTTGTTTGTTTCGCAATGCTGCCATTTGATAACAAAGCATCATGACTTTGCCTTAATTGTTGTCTTGTTTTTTATTTTTTTTCATCAGGGTTCATACTAGATCTAAATAAAATATCAACACAAAGCTCTGGGTCACGAGTTTCAATTAGATAAACAAATTCATCAGCACTTTTAATTGGTAAGTTGATGCCAGTAAAGTTATTCTTTGTCGTTCGTTCTATTTGATTTGATTGTTAAAAAATTTAGGAAAGCGTGTGGATTCTGTTATTATTTTACAATTATAATTAGAAACAAATACGTAATTATAATTGATTTTGAAAACAATTAAATTTTACATTGTCATTGTTGCTACCATTATTTTCATTATTTTGCAATTTCTTTTTCAAGTTCCTTAATTTGCAATTTGCAATTATAACCATTCTATCCATTCCCTATAAAAAAATTGGATACGTTTTTTATAAAGTTTTTATACGATTTTTTTTTCCTTAGAAATAACGTATCATAATAGGATACGGAAAAATGCACAATTCCGTATCACTAAAAATATGGTTTGGATACGGAATTTGCACGGGATTTATATGGAATTTACATGATTTGATCACTTATTTTATCACGAAATTTATACAATTTGGTCACTGAATTTACTATTTATATTACAGTTTACTATAATTGTATTTACATAAATCTAATTTCACTTTATTAAATTAAATAAAAAATAAAAATAAACAAAGTACAAATACATTATGAAAATTCCCTCCTTATTAAAACCACCTATTGCAACTAAAATTATCTATAAGTTCAGGTTCATTTGGAGTCAAACAACCTAAAAGAACAAAAAAAAAGATTGGAAACAAAACTTCCCCTCATATAGTATCTGCAATCGTCCAAGTCACCAAAGGTCAGCATTCCTACAAAAAAAGAAAGAGAACTCCAGAATGTCTGACCTACATAAAAGAAAAGAATTATGAGGCGTCTAATAAAAAAGAAACTAAAACAACAAAATAAATCTAAAACTGACCTACAAAAAAAGAAGACTCTGAAGCAACAAAACTGAAGCAACCTACAAAAAGAAAAGAATCTGAACCCAACTTACAAAAAAACAAGAAAATTTGAACTGACCTAAAAAAAGAAAAAAATCCTGAATCATCCCACAAAAAGAAAAGGACTCCCAAACTGATCTACAAAAAAGAAAAAAGAAACTGAATATTCTCACAAAAAAAATCTGCTGGCCTATGAAATTAAATATAAATAAAGAAGAAAGGGGAATAAAGAATAAACCAAAAAAAATATTTTTTAAAAAAGAGGGATAACGAAGTTAGGAAAGTTAAAAAAAATTTTTTTTAAAGGGAGGACGTCAAAGTTAGAAAAATAAAAATTTTTTTATAAAGAGGAAATAGAAATAGAAAGAAGAAATTTTTTTTAAAAAAAAGAAGAGTGGGAATAAAAGAAAAAATTTTTTTTTAAGGGAGTGACGAAAAAAATTTTTTTTTCAAAGGAGAACGAAAAAAAAATTTTTTTAAAGTGAGGTACGAAAAAAAAAATTATTTTTAAAAGGGGGTAAAAAAATTTTTTTTTAAAGGAGAGTGATGAAAAAAAAAATTTTTAAAGTGAGGTACGAAAAAAAAAATTATTTTTAAAAGGGGGTGACGAAGAAAGAAGAAAAATTTAGAAAAAATAACAAAAATAAGACAAGAGAAAGAGAAAGGAAAAGAAAGACAGAAAGGAAGATCGGAAGATCAAACTCATCAAAGTAAGGGTTTATATAAAAAACAAAAAACGTATCATAACAAAACAATAAACAATCATGTGATCTCGTCTTATGATACGGAATTTTTGTAAAATTATCTTCTAAAAATATTAAGTTTAAAAATTCCGTATACATTCCGCATGATTAATTTTTTCCGTATACATTTCTTATACATTAGTTTTTTTAAAAAATGTTCAAAAATGAATTGCTTATTAAATATACGGAATTTGTATATGGAATCTATAGAAACGTACATAAAATGTATACAAAACGTATCCTTTCCGTATACATATTTCTTATAGGGATTCTATTGTAATAAATTGTTCCTGAAATAAACGAACCCTTTTTCTTGATCATTTTTATATGATAAGTAGTATGTATCCTTTATGGTATCATTGTGCCTTTAGTTCCTTTTGTATTACGATTAATGTCCTTGACATAATTCATAACCAATTTGACGTTTAATGGTAGTTTTGATGTTTCGGAAATAATCTGTGTAATTTCCGAAATTTTTCTTTGCTTTTTTCACAATTTGCGACCACAAACTGCACATGGCCCTTAGAAAACCATTAGTTAGTAAGTCAACCTGAAAAAATTCGTTTAAATTGGGCTCGTGAAAGACGTTTTTTGGACTGTAGATTACTGGAAGGAAATTGTATGGAGCGATGACTTTATTCCAAAATGATGGAAAATTCATGCATGGCGTCTTCCAAAGAAAAATATGATGCTAGCAGTTAGCTGCCTTACTTCGACTGTCAAACATGGTGGTGGCGGAGTCATGATGTGGGAGTGGGTGTTTCTCCTGGTATGGGTTAGGTCCTTTGGTGAGAATTGATGGTAAGGTTAATAGTGAGATATATTCAGGAGAAACAAGATAACGCACATACCAGCGTATATAAGAACGCAAACCTTCATGGAAGATATGGGAATAATTTCACTTCTATGACCGGGACAAAGTCCGGATATTAATCCCATCGAACACAACACTTATGGGACGATCGCATTCGAGCAAAAGAAAATCATCCAAAGAATTTGGAAGCTAAGAATTAGAGGTCAAAAGCTCGTTAACAGCATGGAAACTGAATAAAAGAAGTAATAAAGCCCGCAGCAACCCTACTAAGTATTGAACAATATTTTAATTAAATTTTTAGGCACAAAATCATAAATATTTTATTAAGTTATTATTATTTTTTTTAAAAAAAAATAGCGAATTATATTAAAAACTTAAGGTATAACAATTTTTTAATTTTTGCAAAGTTTTTGAGTTTATTTTTTCTTTATTATGTTCAGTTTTGCGTAGCAAAAAACAGGGCGGACATGCATTATATCACAATGTCGATCACTTGCCGATCATGATATAAGTGATATCACGTTAAATTTGAAGCTTTATTCCAAGCAATAAATGTCCTGACAATTTATGTTAAATTATTTTATTTAATAGTTTAATTGTGTATAAGAGACAGATTATAACCATTCTATCCATTCCCTATAAAAAAATTGGATACGTTTTTTATAAAGTTTTTATACGATTTTTTTTTCCTTAGAAATAACGTATCATAATAGGATACGGAAAAATGCACAATTCCGTATCACTAAAAATATGGTTTGGATACGGAATTTGCACGGGATTTATATGGAATTTACATGATTTGATCACTTATTTTATCACGAAATTTATACAATTTGGTCACTGAATTTACTATTTATATTACAGTTTACTATAATTGTATTTACATAAATCTAATTTCACTTTATTAAATTAAATAAAAAATAAAAATAAACAANATTATGTAGAATTTGTGAAAAAACTAATTCAACGGTATTTTTTTATGTGATAATATTGGACAAGTGATCGGCAAAATGATCGGCAATATCGTGATAATATGGGGATGTCCGCCCTGTTTTGCGTAGCATGAATCGAATTTTTAGTAAAGATATTTTTTATATAATACAATTATAATAATTTTTTTCGATGGATTGATTAGTTTTAATTTAATTATTAACAAACCGATCAAAAAAAAATGTTACATATTAATTTTTTAATAAATTATTAAAATGTATTTATTTTAAGTTAAAAATTTGTTATTCATTTATTAAATTTATTATATAAATATATTTTATTGCTTAATAAAATATCAATTAATAAAAAAATTGTCTTTTTAATTTGCCGGGTGGTCCTCCAGAGAGTGTAAAAGTGAATAGTAAAATGATCAAATTTATTTAGGATACGGAATAAAAATATAAAATATGAATAGTGACTCGAATTATTTATTTAACAATACATTTAAATGAGGATGTTTGCATAGTTTACAAAATAATTTTAATTTCCGATCAGATCCTACGATAATATGTAAAAACTTTTGATTTTATTACATAATTGTACACTCAAAATTAGCATCTTTTTTTTGTTCTGGTTTTTCAGTGACTTCAGCAGTTGTGATAGATGGAATGGATAGTTTAATGATAACTTCAGTCTGATTCATTTTGCTAGGAAATTTAATTTTATAAGTTTGAATTATGTATTATGTGAAAAACTATCAAAGTTATTTCTTTTTTTCTTTGACTGAATCTTTTTTCTTCAATATGAAAATTATTTGCTTATTTATATCTTTCATAGATTTCAAACTTTTGGATTTAATATTGTGTGCATTATGCATGTCTCCGTGTTTGGGATACGCCAAATTTTGGATCACATTTTTGACTTTTTAGGGCTGAAACAAGGTACCTAAATCATTTAGACATTATTTCAATATTTTTAATATTATTTTCATTATGAATTCTGTGCTAACAATATTTTTTTTAAAATTCAGTATGAGTATTGTCTTAAAATACCATTTTATTGTAAATTATTGTCCATACTTTTATGAAAAATTGACTGTCGATCATTGTCACATGAGGATTTCCGTTTGTCTCGCCACATTGATCAAAACAAATGTTACACAAATGGAAATGGTTTTCTGAATATTCTATACATATTTGTCGAAAAAGTCAATAGTTTGGAAGTACAAATAATTAAAAATAGTCATCGATCCTAAAGAAAAGATTATCGGCCTCTCCGGTCGTCTTACATTCTTACAGTACATGCGAAAGAATCACGTAGGACCGCAGTATTTAAGGTGCTGGCAGCGATTTACTGTACTGAACTATCAAAATTTGTTTTAATCCCTGTTTTTGTCCCTGTCACAATCGACAATTTTATTTCCTTTTTTTGAATACGTATCACGATTTACGTAACACTACCTATTTGAATGTGCCAAATAAATAAATGACACGTAGGTCACGTAACATTTGCGTGTTATGCAAGTAAATATCATAGTCATATCTTAAAAAAAAGAATGAAAAGGAGTAATTACTAACAAATGCTACTAAAGAAACAAAAAGAAGCAAAAGAAATCTATCCACGTATGAAAAGCCTACATTTCTAAGGTCCGAATAGTCCTTAAAAAAAGACACTATATAAAAAAGTCTAAAATAAAGAAATTGAGAAAATAGTACGTACTACTCTTACCGTTAAAAATAAAAAAATAAAAATAAATATAAAAATTTGTAATACGATCCGAATCTACAAAGACTGGATTGTACAGTATATGAGTGTCTAAATCTTTAACGATCATATAAAAAATTTTATAAATAACTTACTCCCTATATTATTAGATGATTTTTTAGTTTAAATTATCTGCGAGTCGTATACAGTAAAGCTTTCTATATTGTTTTCGATTTCATCACACGATATAAAGCAACCGTTATTTGAAAAACTTACATTATTAATATACTGTATATTCAAATTTCGTTAGCATATTAATTCTATTTTGAATTTAACCACATTTTATTTTTAAAATAGATACAGTATCTTGGCAGTTAAAATCTTACATAATAAATATATCGAATATTTTATATAAAATTTTATTAAAATAAGAAATAAAAATGAGGGACTTAATATGTGCCATCCATTTAAAATAAATCAAATATAATTCTTATATCAGAATCATAGATAAATTGACATGTTAGGAATATTATCCTACATTCATTTTAAAGGGGAGAATGAAACTTATCCAATGAATCAAAAATTGCATGAGTGAATCACTGGTTGATGAGTACTATGGTACATTTTTTGTTGTTACATTCTTATTACCTGTGAAGTCGTCAAAAGACGATGGTTTTGATTTACACCTGCCTACAATAACAATTATTATGATTTATAAATTAACATATGTTATCTTAATATTAAAAATAATCCAGCAGAAAATTATTCTTCTTATAATCGAAAATCTATATCGGTTAATCACGAATAAATTTAAACTTCGTGATAAAATTGATTTTGGCTTGAGAAAGGTTTCAAGATTTCTAGCCATGAATTTCAAATTAATGTATACTGAATTATTTTATTTCGTAATTTAGTTTTAACTTACTGCCTCAGTTATTTCATTTGTTAGCATAACTTTTTTTTACAATATGCTGGGTGTGACAATTATATGTGACAGTCATTTAATTGGGGTTATATAATAATAATTTAACTGAGGAATAATAATATTGAATTTTTTATCCAATAAAAATTTGGTCTAATGTTAGAGGGAAATTATTTTTATTAAATTTTTACGTTCATTATTTATTAAAATAATTGTAACTTTCTATTATAATTGTATATTTTCTCTAAAAAAAAATAGCTCCATTTTTAAATTTTATAATATTAATTTTCACTTAGTTGTTCATTTAGACGATGTGTGAATGCTCTGGCACACTTGATTCTCTTTTTACTAATTTTCTTCCAGATTCAAATTCCGGAGGAGTTGGTTCGTATGTTACTATTTAAAGAGTTAATTAATTATTAGTAGTATTGAGGGAAAAATGAATTAATGAGAATGAAGAATAAAATTCACATACTATAATCCGACATATTTTTACCGAAATTTTTATGGCACCTAATCGTGTTCCAAGTTGATAATGCCAAAACAATCCAACATAGACACGCTATTATATATATATTAAAAAATGAATCATTAGTAAAACTTTATATTAATTTACTAATTTAAAAACAATATAAAATTATGTGAAATTGTTATTACCATACAATAAAAATGTACAAATTTCCGTATTATACTGAAAGCATTGCAACGTAGAATCTAATTTTGCCAATGATTTAAATTGTTTACAGAAACTAGCCATATCAAAATATAATAATAAGGCTTGAATAAAATTTCCTACGTATACAATAAACATTAAATAATGTTTCTCGTCCCTCACCTAAATATGTTGATATGTAAGAACAAAATTGTTTTGGTATGGTATAATAACATTATATTAAAAAACAAAAAAATAATGTACTACTTACACCTTTGAGCATAAAAAATGAATAATAAAGAAATATTATGTTGAATGGCACTTGAAAATTGATAAATATTTTCGAGAACTAATTCGTCTTTTTGTTAGTGCTACCAGGTCTATACCACATATTCCTACCAAATAAGCAACTAACAATAACCCTATCATGATGATCTGCGCATGGAAAAGTGGAAATTGGACCTCGTATATTGCATGCATTTCTAAGCCAAAAAAAGAAAAGAAAAATTTGGAAACTAAATAAATACTACACCATATACGCTGAAGGATTTGAATAAATGGATTATTTACCTTTAATCTCATCATGTCTAGAATGTTTGAATTCATATACTAGAGGCCATATTCTAAGATAAAAAAAATGAAATAAAAATAATTTAATTATTACTTTTTATTTGTTATATAATTGAAAGATATTATCATTTACCTTTTTTTCCATATTAAGTACACATATAATGTATGTAGCAATTGAAATAAAATTATAAGTGCAACTAAAAAAACAATACTTGCATAAAATGTTGGACTTGCGTCACATTTGAGAGTATGATCTCTACAATTAAAATATTGAGTATAAAAATAAGCTATTCCTCCAAAAACAGGAAACGAATGTACACCAAGGAATGCTAATCCATGATAAACGGTTTTACCATAAAACTATAAATAATAAAATAAATTAGTATTGAATAAATTAAACAACTAATCTTCAGTATAAACGATTATATTACCATAATTATCCCTGATATTATAGGAAAACCTAATATTAGAATAAATAAAAAATCAATTTCGAAATGTCCTGTTAAGATTAAAGAGCCAATGAACAGAAAACAATATGTGGCCATATCTATAATATATGTACACAAGAAAAATTTTTCAATACACTCTAATTCTCTATAAAATTTACGAAGTATTCTATAAAGAACAACCAGTGAATTCATTTTAGGGTAAGGTAAAACCAATAGACCAGCTGATGGATAAAAAAGAAAAGGAGATGAAAATTATTAAGATAATGAAGAGATGAAAATTTAAAATAACGAAAAATAACGAAGAGATAAAAGTTATTAAGACAACGAAGATATTACGAAAGGATGAAATTATTATAGAAAAGAAGATATCTATGAAGTACCTTTTTTAAAATGTTAATAATTATTGTGAGCGCGTATTTATATTTTTAAATACAAAGGAACATATTCCCTTAGTTGTTCATGTTAAAACACACTTAGTATTTAGAGATTCATATTTACAAAGAATCGTTGTCGTTTCTAATCATGCAAATTAAAATACCACAACCCCAAAAAACGTTTTATTGTAAATAAAAATTTAATTTCTTTATTTATAAAAAAATAATTTTCCAATATCAAGTACGTAAGTAGAATATCATAAAAATAGCAATAGTATTTATGACAACACATTATAACGCTATAGTTTCCTTTAAAACTTTTTTTTTGGATTCATCTTGCAAATTTCAAGAAAAGAACGTCTTATGATAGAGTCTAGTAGACATTTTTTTTGTTAATTGTAAAAAAAAAAATTTTTCGTTGAATTCTCTGGGAACTTGTGAAATTTCTCCTGCTACTAAAAAAACAATTTATCTGTTATGAATTTATACGCATAATTTACTTTTTTGTTAAAAAAATTATCGTTAACAAAAAATTGAAACGTATTTACTGAATGTATGCCACTTGGGTATACCCGTAGCTTTTGTCTTCTTTCTGTATTATATTTTTTCTATAATATATTTAAATTTATTTTGTAATCAAAAATATTATTGCAGTCAAAAGTTATACAATGTTTATCATCATGCTGGAATGGCGTCTACAATCATTTCTAAACATAATAATTTAATACATGAAACACATTTAAACAAAAAATTTTTTTTTGTCAACAAAAATAATAATTTCTTTTTCTGTTCTAAAGCTGGAAACAATGATGAAAATCTATGAAATTGCCTATTTTGTCAACTTAATACTATTAAATGCATATTACATATTTGCTGTTTCACACTTGGATAAATTTGTAACATGTTTTGAAAATGTGAAAAGATTTCATTTCTTCAAAAGGGATTAAAGAAATTAAAAAGTTTAATTAATCCAAAATGACTTTTACTAGTAAAATTTGTGTTGACCCACGTTTTTTGTCCCGTCACAATACCAGTGTGGCGCATATATAAGCCTTGTACAAATTTACTTTTGTTATTTTTTAACGTACTATGTAAATTAAAGTCAAAGCACTGTACGATAAAGTTTGTTAATAAATTAATGTAGAATTTATTTCAATAAAATAAAATCCATTTAAAATCATTCATTATCATTAGAATTAATACCGAATTAATATTTTTTTCTCACATGTGAAAATAAAGAACTGGTTTCTAAACTTGCGCCCCCTTTTGATACAGAATTAATCGTTAAAAATGTCCAGATCTAAACCCTATAAAAATTTTATCCATTATTTCTGTAAAAACTCCGTGAATATGCATGATAGTACTTATACGGAAATAACATGGAATAAAAAAACACGGTATAAATTTTTTATAGGGCAAGGATTTTAAAGATCCTAAATCAAGAACCTTAAACATAAGATTACTTTTGTCTATCAGTTATTTCCTAACCTTGAAAACAGTAATATTTCTCCAAAAAATTATAAGAATGATTTAAAAGTACATACTTGGAAAATATTGTATAACACGGTTTTAGAATTATCAATTTAGAATTAACAGTTAATAAGAGCAATGGGATGGAATGATATTGAAGCGGCGCCTCAATTGGTTTCATCTTATAGATTTTTTTGGGTAGTATAAAGTATAAACTGTTATTTCTGATTTTTTTGGTTTTATAGACAAATTGCAAAAACATTTCTGTAAAAAAAAAAAATTTAAACAGTCAGTTGCGTAAAAAATATCAAGACTTAGCGAAAAAAAGTAAAATTACTACGGTCTTAATAAAATAATTGAATACTATTTAAATTGCAATTCAAAAGATACTGTGTGACAATACCGTTCTTTTTAATGATAACTAGGAAATGGAAACTACTGTAAGCCCGCTAGCAATCCATAATATTAATGAATTTTAAAAATAAATCACGTGATTCTGCGGCTACGTTGCTCTCTAAACTCGATGACATTATCTGTTATATTTATAATCATTCAATCATTTGTAAATAAAATATTACTACTTTAGCTGAATTTTCATTAAATAAAGTTATTAAGAGTAAAAAAAATATTTTTTTTTTTCTAAATCAAGAAATTTCGAAATTATAATTATAAATCTAAAATCAATAATCATGGATCGTGTCATTTCTTTTTTTTTTTTTTAAAAAAAAAAAGAAGACATTTTTTATATCTTTTTTTTTATTTTTAAATGTAAATTTAATTTATATTTTTTATAATTAGCACGAAACATGTTTCATATTTTTTTTTTAGAATGTGAGATCAAGAAAATAATATAAATAATATGAAATAAATAAACGAGGCTTTCCAAAAAAAAAAAATTCATTGTGGTAATGAACGCATTCAATATACAATGAATATTTGCAATAAAAAACAATCAAATTAATGATACTATAACTGGTTACCCCTGAGAAATTTTTGCGTGTTTATAGGTTCATTTTGGTTTGTTCGATTTCTATACATCGAATATGTGACGGAATCTTCAAACAAATTTATTTTTGCAATACGTGAAACCCACGTATGAATGTCCTTATTTGAGAACATAAAAAAGAAAAGATTTTTCTTTTTTTCTTATAATATAAAAATGGAATGTTAAACTACTACCAGATAATCTGACAATTAAATCATAACTGAAACAGCATTTAAACAAAATCAAACTATAATATATTATGTACGTACCACAAAGAAAGTGAAGAAAATTCTAAAGAATAATAAATATTGTTGGTTCATATGGTTCATGCATAATTTAGCTGTTTAACAATATTTATCTACTTTAAACGAAAATACATCTGTCATATCAAACATGATAAAAATTGTAAGATTTACTTTTTTTGGAATATTTACAAACGCTTATTATAATCTTATGAATAATAATGTTGCACTTTGTTTGAAATCATTAATATTTATTTATATTAATTTATAAAGCCAAGCCAAAATTTTCATTTATTTGGGAATATTCGGAAAATGTTCAGGTGAAAATACGGAAAATGTATGGTATTTTAATTACGGAATTCCCGCATTTCGATAGATTTTTCCAACACTAAACCCAAATAATGAATTTTTTTTTTCTCCTCAATGAGACGAAAAAAATAATAAAAAATGGAACATGTAAACAAAGTTTAATTAATTTCTTGGAATTTTTTAGTTCGCCAAGTAAACTTTATTAATAATCAATTATGCGCCAAGTATAACCATTTATGAAATGGATCATCGTAAAATTCATTCGGTACTTTAACGAAAGGTTTAATATTTTTTTTTCTTTTCTTTTGAGAAAGAATTCGATAAAAATTTAACCATCTCAATCAGTTCGCTCATTTACAGAATGCAGCAGTTATGCAGTTGCATTATTACCATTACTATCCAAAAATTAGTATGTAAAAGAATGAATGATTGACAACCGTCCTTAATTTAGCCAAGTAAACCAAGAAATCCTTGGCAAACAATGGGAATTTCATTCAACAATGATATATTTATTATATATATGAGCCCAGAAAATGCCAGAAATAAAAAAAACGCAAGTTTTAATTTCTTAAAAAACCAAAAAAAAATAATAATAATAATAATAATTTATCAATACATTTTTCATTAATTTTCACACTACACATATTATTATAAGTTTTATAACCATGACTAACCCAACTTACGAAAGTAAAGTAAGCATTAAGGATGTTAATTCTGAAACACAAAATAAATTAAACGTTGATGTTGAAACTCCACCACCACCTTATGAAGCAGGCGGAAGTGCAACATCTTCAACTTCTTCAAAGGTTGATAATAATCAAAATACAAACTTAAAACAAATTGAACCTGTCGTGCAACATGATTATTATGGTTATAATTCACCTCAACAACAAGAATATTTTCAACAAGATGGATCAACTATAGTTTATATTGAAGGGAATAATAATTATAATGTGCCCAGAGACCAATATCATCAGCAGCAACAGAAAAAGAAGAGAACGTGCATAGAAAAATATTGGGGACCTGTTATTAATCCAGATGCTTGGAAAAGTCTTTTATATTTCTTGTTTATCGCGCCGGTTATTGCTTTATTTTCTGGTATCTGGTGTGGAACAATGCTATTATTCGCCATTGTTTCTTTAATTTTTCCCCCACTCGGATTCTTTTTTTGTATTGGAACGGCTTTGTCTTATAGAGCACTTGGTCGTCTTGAATTAATCGCCGCAACAATGTGCACAAGTAAACATAAACCCTCACACATGTATCCACCGGTTTTCCGTACATCAGCTCAAGTCGCTTCTCACACTCAAACCGACGGAGGCATTTTACGATATGGTATAAGAATTTGTTTGGATGAATACACTTGGATGTGTTTCGTTTATTTCGTATTTGTTAATGTCATATGCACCGCAGTCGCCTGGGTTTTAGTATTCTTTTTTTTTACATTAGCATTCAGTCCTATAATGATAGTGGCCATGCCTGTGATGTGTAGAATATGTTTAGCATTTGGTAAAGCGAAAGTAAAAATGAGCGAAAACATCTTAATTAAAGTGTAATATACTATAGATTTTTTTTTCTTGTATTTTTTTGTTTATAAAACCTGTATTTTAAATATTTTGATTAATTAAGTTATATAATATACATAATAAATTTTTATAAAATTAAAGGTATGAAGTTAATCATATTGAGAAAAAAAAAATTTTTAGAAATTTTAAATTATCCTAAACAGAGATAAATTTCTTGATACACAGTATAAGTAATATAATAAATCGAGAAAAACAATTATAATATTTAAAAAAATTTTCATTTGAACCGCAAATGAACGTAAATAATATTTCCAAAGTTTAAACATTCGTTTTAATAAGATTCATAATAGTTTTAAAAAAAGTTATATTAACATTTTATTTTAATATATAAAACAAAATTATTTAAGTTTCAGAATTTTGATCGTTAGGAGCTCTTTTGTTTTAGTAAGGCTGATATACAGTAGTATCTATCCACAAAGGTTGATGTATGAAGACATTCAACTTCAGATATGCTGTTCAAAAGCAAAGAAGGAATAATAACTCATTAATATATACGAAACTATTTTAAAATAGATCCGTTTTCCCTGCTTTATGAAACATAAATTTGACGTGAAATGAACCAAAATTTGAGAAAATTTATCCAAGTCCGTCACCAATTTTTTTCTTACAAAAATTTTTCCGCAGCAGATCGACATTTACCAAATAATTAGTAAAATAATACAATAAATAAAATAAATAATATGGAATTGATAACAGAACAACCTTGAATTAGAATTATTCTGCGTACTCGAATAACCTGTTTTATTTTAAATAAATAAATTTTTATTCTCATTCCAGTTACGGCCATACACAGTGAAAAGCACCGGAACCCGTCCGATCTCCGAAGTTAAGCCACTGATGGCCCAGTCAGTACTACGGTTGGGGACAACGTGGGAATACTGGGTGCTGTAACTTTTTTTTTTTTTAATAACAGAAAAAGTTAGATTTTGGGAATTTTTTTAATAACATTCTGCATTTTTTAACCTACTTTCTATTATGTATTTTTAAAAGATTCTGCCGTTTCATCGTTACCATTTTTGTTTAAACAGTACTAGGCAAATACTTATTCTCTTAATTATGAAAATCATGAGCAATAAAAATGTATACCGTATATGAAAACGCTCATATCATTAATAAATGAAAGAATGCCATGAATACAAATTTCTTTTCGTTCTTCAAGAAATGAAAATTATAGACAAAATAGTATACAGTTATTTAATATCACTGAATGTGTGATCCGTATTACCGTAATATACAAAATTTTATTTAGAACTTGGAATTAATTTCGTTGTGTTACCATATGTCTTATTAAACGCACAAAGGAACTTATAATAAAGAAATATGAAACTTAAAATATATTATGAGCATCAAATAAAACTTTTAATTACGATAACTTTAAATACTCCCAAGTTTTACAATTATAAATCATAATATAAACGTTCTGTTATCGTGTTTAACTTATTAAGTTCTAATTTGACTTCGGAAATTGAAAAACTAGAACAAAGACTTGATTGCATAAGTACGATGGATTTACACAAACAACAATTGTGCAGCCAAATATAAAGAACGTCTTTGTTTTTTTATATTTAAAAACAAAAGATCAGCGACAATTTTTTGTTTCTCATAAAACATGAAAATTAATCAAATGAAAATCCACAGTATGGCGAGAGTCCTTATATTACAATTTACAAAGAAGCGAAACAAATAATTAAAAAAAAAATCTTTGTTAAAAATAATATATAATGATCGTAAATTTACCATCTCAAAAACTTAGATTTGGTAAAAAAAAAATTATATATATACTTCTTAAAAATTTCAAACTTGCACTTGATAAAAAAAAAAAAAAAAATTTAAATTTTGCACTCAATTATCAATTTCAAATGGCATCATTTTTACCAGTAGAATGCCTAGAAAATATATTTTTATACCTTCCTAATAGAATTCATGCTGATAGATCCTGTAAAAATGAATCAACTGAAGATTTACGTTCTTGTACGTTAGTATCAAGACATTGGTGTAGAGTTTCAACACCAATCTTATATGCATATCCATTTCCAAGTTATTGTCGAAACTCCCCAGATTTAGCATTGTCTTATATTAGATTGCTTCGTACCCTATTAAGTTGTACTCCTAAATCGGAAATTGAACAGATGATCTTAACAGATTCGCCTAGTCCAACGTTTAATTATATCACTTTTATTCGTGGTTTAAATTTTGATCTAGAAATTTTAGATCAATTAAATACTTTCAAAAAATTATGGTTACCCATTTTTGTTTTAGATAATGTAAGGAAAGATCAAATTCCGAAAATAATTTCCTTAATTTTAAATAATCTTGCAAAATCCTTGAGTACAGATTGTAACAATAATTTAACAAAATTAGAAATTACACTTACAAATGATAATATAAAGTTATTTAATAACATCGTTGAACCATTAACTATTAATTATTGTGATGAAAGAAGTAAATTGACTAAACTAAAAGAATTATATTATAGCAATAGTATTAATTATGATAGCAAAATTGATCCTTACCCTGCTTTTTTGGATAAAATTCGTAACTTAAATTTACTTCACAACGAGGGAAATAATTCTATCAAGATAGCAAATTCATTATCACGTTTTATTTCTTTACAAAACAAGTTGCAACACATTATATTATCGGAAATTCTATTGGATAATGATAATGGTGACTATTATAATATTGTATTCGAATCATTATCAACACAAAGTGAAAATTTGCAGATATTAAACCTAAAAAATATACCTTTTGATAAAATAAATGGAACGGCATTAGATTCATTATGTTCACTTAAAAATATCAAAGAGTTAAAGCTACAATATTGCATAGGAATAGATAATGATTCAATTCCATGGGCGAAGTATCTTAGAAATCTTGAAGTTTTTGAATTCTCAACATATGATTACGGTTTTGAAAATTTTCTGAATCAATTAATTCAGTCTTCTTCAACTACTTTAAAAAAATTAATTATAAATTATCAAAGGATAAATGGTCAGGATTGTCAATCACTATTTAAACAAATTCCACTTCATTTAAAATCATTAATTCATTTAGAACTTACTGAAATTTATCCAGATGAGTTGATTTTTATATTTGAATCATGTACTCAATTAGTTTATATTAGTACAATATTAAAATATAATAAATCGTGGACTGAAGTAAAATTTAAAAATTTAGGCGAATCAATCCCTAAAAATTTACAAAAGATTCAGTTTAAAGATGAGTTTGATTCGGTATTTAAAGTTAATTACTTGGAATGCTTCTTTAAAGAGTGTTTAAATAATAATAGTAAATTAAAATATTTAGAAATTATTGGAAGGTATAAAATCAGTCAAAAGTATTTTAATGTTGCTAATAAATTTGGTATACAATTAATTGATCATAGTAATAAATGGCCAATTCTATATAGATAGTTAGAATAATCATAACAAAATTGTAAAATTTATCTCTTATTAAATAAATTTCATTACCTATATTTAAAATTTTAATGCTTGCCATATATAAAAAGTGATCTAAAATAAAAACAAAAATATTGAAAAAAATCTTTTATGAACAAAATAATCTCTTTCGTGTTTCTTATTATTTCTGCAAGTGCATTTTGAATACAGCCGTTATTTCCATTGAAGAATCAGTCAGCGTATTACAGACTACAGAGGACTGTTTTATTTTTCTAAAAGTCTTTTTTAACGTGCAGCAAAGTTGTAAGAAATTCTAAGAGTTTAGGACTTTAGCAAACTTGAAATGGACTTATTTCTATTTTGTTTATACCATATTTTTTTTAAAAAAACTAATATTAAATTGACCTACGAAAAAAAATTCTGGAAAAAACTCCGATAAATGATCATTTTTCTAGTTTTTATTCCGAACTCCCAAAAAATTTTTTTATAGGGATATATAACCTCATCTTTGTGGAATCGAACCGTTTCCGTATTACAAATTTTTAAATTTTTTAACGGTAAGGGTAGTACGTACTATTTTCTTAATTTCTTTATTTTAGACTTTTTTTAGTGTCTTTTTTTAGGACTATTCTGACCTTAGAATGTTTTCATACGTGGGTAGATTTCTTTTGCTTATTTTGTTTCTTTAATATTTGCTAATTACTCCTTTTTTTTAAGAATATAAAAAAAGATTTGACTGACAATAATATTGATCGCTGCCATGATCATGAGCACCGTAAAGACTGCGGTCCTACATGATCCTTTTGCATGTACTGTAGGACCGGAGAGACCGATAATCTTTTCTTTAGGATCGATGACTATCTTTAGATAGTTATTTACACTTCCAAAACTATTGACTTTTTTTGACAAATATGTATAGAATATTTGCGGGACAAATGGAAATCTTCATGTGACAATGATCGACAGTCAATTTTTCATAAAAGTTATACTTCGCTCCGGACAATAATTTACAATAAAATGGTATTTTAAGACAATATTCATACTGAACTTTAAAAAATATTGTTAACACATAATCATAGAAAAATAATATTAAAAATATTGAAATATTGTCTAAATAAATATCTATTGTATATTAGTGATACATGATTTAGGTGCTTTGTTTCAGCCGCCCCAAAAAGTCAAAATGTGATCCACATAAACTAAAAATTTGGCATATTTAATATTTTCCAAATATGGAGACATGCGTAATGCACACAATATTAAATCCAAAAGTTTGTAATCCATGAAAGATATAAATAGGCAAAAAATTTTCATATTGAAGAAAACAATTAAGATTCAAAAAAAAAAAAAAAAAAAAAGAAAAAACTTTGATAGTTATTGAATCATAAATGGAACCAAACACCAAATCTAAAACAAAAGTTTATACGCAAATTTGAGAGGTGGATATTTATATTTGTTCATATTTAATACAGTAGTTTGTTTTAAATTTTAAGTCACAGTGTCATCATAAATTACGATATTGAGATATCAAGACAGAATAATTTTCCTAACATTTGATAAAAGATAAATGAAAAAAATATTTAATTACCCTTATCGCCAGTGCATCTGCAGTGAGATGAGCATTTCATACATCTATGATGATCTACGTTAGAGAAGCATCCATTGTTATGACAAGTACTCTGGCCACCGAAACCTGTACCTGTAATAATAATAAAAAAAAAAGACGAATAAGCACAACATCTACATCGAATTATATCTCAATATTATCGTAATTTATAATGACACTGTGACTCTCAAACTTACTCATTTTTAAAATATAATTATAAAGGCAAAAAAAAAAAGAAAAATCCATTTCTTTAAATAATCATTTCGTTTAACTATTTTTTTTCTTTTTTTTTTCATTTGATATTAAAATATTGAAATAAATAATTTGTTTGAAATTGGAAATAGAGATTAGATTATCCAAAAACTTTATATAACACAATATGATTATAAAACCTTGTTTAAATGTTTTTGTCATGCGACTAATGAAATTTGTGAAATAGAGATTAGATTATAAAATACATTAAAATACAAAGAAAAACATTGTTAATACTTACTAATTTCTCTTCAATGATTCTTAATCTAATCGCATAACCGTTAATCACATGTGAACATCTTAATCCTTCAACTATATTATATAGATTGAAATGTTTTTATTTCCTTGATTGGTAAAATTTTTAGTCAATGTTAGCTAAATAAGTTAATTGGCTTAGTAAACTTTAAATTTCTTGAATGGTTTTTTTCATTTGATACGGCAAATGGAAGTCTGAAGTTTTCCGATAGAAGATTTCTGCAATAAATGATTTTCTGAACTTTTACTTTTTAAGGGAAAAAAAACAATTAATTATAGATATGAATTACAAAAATTGACCAATAAAATTTCAAGATACAAAAACCTACAGCATCCAAAATTTTTTTAGGCAAGTTTAACATAACAACAATAAGGCAATGAATTATTTTTTTCTCACACATTAGAAATAATCGTTAGCATGATTATTCAGGTCAACGTAACCATCAAAAAAAACTCGGGTACATGATTCACGTGATTTGACTAGTTGAACCGCAAAATTTTTCCACTCCCACGTGACACTAAAAATTTGTCACTGGCGTCACACCCTTCCTGTTTTCCCATTTTTACTATATATTCCAGGTGTAAAATCCTATTTGTCACGCCTTATTTGTCACACATGATTAATTTCTTAATGCCAGCCGAGACGTATAATGCTGGCCAAAAATCACGTGGGTGGAAATTTTTGTGGCGTTACTGGGGTAAATAGTTGAACTCCGCACTTATCGGAATAAACCAACATTCAATAATTCATGTCCTTATCTTAACTTTAAGCAACTTCAAGTCTCCAACATTATCAGTATGACACTCCATGTTAATGGCATAATTCACTTTCTTTGATATTGTTAAACATGATTTTTTTTTGTAATTTCCTCAGTAGAAATCTCATTAGTTAAAATGATATTATTGCTTACTCAACAATGTAATTATAATTATTAGTTATTGGATGATAAAAGATTTGTAATAATTATTTCACTTAAAATAACAATATCAACAATTTTCAAGTTATCAGGATGATAATTTTTTATTTCTATAAAAGGGTTCTTTAGTCTTTTCTCAAATATTTGATGTAAATTATTGTAAGTTTTATAAGTTGCTTACTACCTTTAACTCCATAAAGTGTAAATTTAAATGATAGCTTAAAAGATTTACACAATAAGATATCTATCTCGTGAAAAATAACTCCATTTAATATTTATATTTTTCATATAAAAAATTATAATTATTTTAATTTTAAATAACGATTTTGTATTCTAATAATATAAACGTGAAAGAAAGCTAAAATAATACGCGTAAATTATCAAAACTGCACCATATATAATAAAGTGTTCCTCTGAGCTTTTTGATGGTTCCGATGTGGAAGATTGAAAATCATCAATAACCCTGGTCCAGTACTAGAATTCTGGACGGTATTGTAGCAACAATTCAGGTTTGCATACTTCGTCTAATAATTATAGAAGAGATTTATGAAAGAAATATTTATTAAAAAGAAGGCTTGTTACATCAGTACATTGCACGAAATTACCGCCATATAATAGGTTAAGAGGCAGTGGTGGAAAAATTAAAATTGTGACGAAATCCGAATTTTCCGTAGGTGTAAAATTTTCATATTTCATTTCTCTCTTTAAATGTCCACTACTCCATCATATATCTTTATTATTGATATCCATTTTTTACTTACCCGATCAACCTCTTCTATATTAATATTGTCTACAATATTCACACAAACCATTTATTAAGATAATGACTTAATAAATCAAAAACAATAGACAGATGACGTATAATTCTTTTAATACCCTATAAAAAAAAATTTATCCGTTATTTCTGTAAAAACTCCGTAAAAATGAGCCTTTCACGGATCCATTCACGGAAAATGTAAATAATTCGATAATGATTCCGGGATATAAGGTTATTAATTCCGCCTTTTACGGAAAAAGACGGAATATAACAAACGGATCGATTTTTTTTACAGAGATATACCTTATATCAAAAGGTAAGAAGTGATCTGAAGTATAACGTATAATATACTAACCAAATTTTACATTACATTAATAAATAAAAAAAATATGACGTAAAATTTGGAATGTACTATATCTGTATACCTTTATTGAATCAGAATAAAAGTTTATACGGAAAAAGTTCAAATTGAGAGTTATATTTGTTATATTTAAATACAATAGTTTGTTTATAATTTTAAGTCACAGTGTCATTTAAATTACGATATTGAGATATCAAGACAGAATAATTTTCCTAACATTTGATAAAAAAGATAAATGAAAATATATTTAATTACCCTTATCGCCAGTACATGAGCAGTGTTTTGGACATCTCATACAGCCGGTAGAATGAACTGATAAGACATTGAAGCATCCGCTTGCATGACAAGTACTCATGTCACCGAAACCTGTACCTGTAATAATAAAAGAAAAAAGACAAATAAGCACAACATTTACATCGAATTATATCTCAATATCGTAATTATAATGACACTGTGACTCTCAAACTTACTCATGTCTTAAAAATATAATTAAAAGGCAAAAAGAAAAGAAAAATCCACTTCTTTAAATAATCATTTCGTTTAGCTATTTTTGTTAAAATATCGAAATAAATAATTTGTATAAAATTGGAAGGAGATTAGATTATCTAAAAACTTTATATAATACAATATACAAAGAAAAGTATTGTTTAATATTTACCAATTAGAGTTTGTATCAGATATCCGATTTTACATGTATCCGTTAATCGAATATTACCCGGGCATTAATTCAGGCCAAATTTATAATTCCAACCAGAATTATGACTCAGTAAGATGACAATTTCCTTTTTTGGCGATAGTGTTCCACTGAAAAAGGATTATTCCGGGAAGTTGCCCGAATTATTTCCAACGGATAATATCTCTTCTATGATACCTAATTTTTGGTAACTACATTATATAGATTGAATGTATTTATTTCTTTGATTGGTAAAAGTTTAACAAATTTTTTGTCGATGTTAGCTAAATTAAGTTAATCAATCATCTTAGTAAACCGAAAGATCTTTCATTTAACATGGCACACGGACTGAAGTTTTCCGATAGAAGATTCTATAAATGATTTTCCGAACTTTCACCTTTTAAGGGAAAAAAAAATAATTAATTTAATATAGTTTTGAATTGTCCATTTACTGTATTACCGATTATACACGATTTGCATGATAAGGACCATGAATATCTTGGGAATGTTAAAGTTTAGATTGGATTAGAAGAATAATGTTTGCTTGCAGAATATTTCGATATGCCTGGAGGAAATATCAAGTATAAAGAAAAAATTCGGCCACGGTTCTGATGGGGAGATAAGATGGAATTAGCATCACTTGCAAGCATTCAAATAGTGAGTATATACACAATATTTGCTGAATGGAATATAATCAATTATAAAGCGACATTAATTAGAAGTACTGAATTTGAGTCTGTAATAACTGACTGATTCGTCAATGCCAAATGGGTCATTTGACTTAACACACTCAGGTGAGTCAGGTCTATATGATAATCACATGATCATATAAAATGAATTTATTGGACTACAATCATGTGATATGAATCACACTTAATTCTTAATTTCACCAATGCTACCAATGCTTAATTCTGGTCAAATATAAATAAATCGGTAGATCGACACATGATTACTTTGCTTTACTATTAAATATTTAAATATTTTAATTTTTTAGCTGCTATTAACAACCTTCGAACTTAAAAATACATCAAACAGAAAATTAACTATTGATATCATAATTATCATACGTAAAAAAAAAAAAATTTTTTTTTTTAAAGTTCAACGTATGAACATAATTTTTGTTTTTAATCATAATAATAATAATATTATTATTATTATTCATTTTAGAATTTACTTAACACAAATTGAAAACAAACAATCCTCTTTTGAACTTTATTATACGAAAATAGGTCAAATGGCTTGATATAATCTAAAAAAGGAAAAGTTATTAAGGGTCATTCTAAAAAAAAATTTTTTACCTTTTTTTTTTTTTATAGTTCAGGTTTCTTTGTTTCAAATGATAAAATAATTTTTTTATTCTTTTGTTTCTCTAGTTTTACATATTTGGAAATCTTCAATAAGACAATTGCTTAAATTTTATTATGGATTTAAACATCCGATTATATTAAAGTAGAGGTGATGAGTGATGACTTAGGGATCAACGATTGTGGACTTACTTAATTTAGAATGAATGATAATTCCAATTTTGTCGGGTTGAAACATATATGAAACTTGAATAATAATAAATATTATTAATGTAATAAAGGCAAATTACCTTCAAACCTTATAATATACACAATTAATAACCTATTTTTTAACTTTCTTTGTTTAGTTCGAAATCCCTTTATGACCCAACACACAATTTTTTTTTTTTTTTTCCTTTAAAGAGTTATTATGACTCCGGCGGCGCACGTTTCTTAATATAAGATTTTTATTAGTGAACTGCACTGCAGTTTAACGAAAAAAATTTTTATTGGAAAANAAAAAAAAAAAAAAAAAAAAAATATCGATTATTAAATTAATTATAATTAAATTAAAAAGATTGTCTTTTACTATCTCTTCCTAAAATCATTGATGCTACTTCATAAAATGATAAGGATTGTTTTAAAATTCCAACATCACCACTAGGATCCAATTTTTCAATTTTATATTTTTGTTCCATCTTAATTTCATCTCGAACATTCTTTAAAGGCATATCCAATAACATTCCATTAGAAGCTCTTAATATAACTTCTTCATCATCAGAAGTTGTATCATCATCATTATTATTATTATCATCATTTTTTACATTTTTTCCTTTATAATTACCACTTTCTAAAGAATTTTCATTTAGGTGATGATCATCATCCGATCCTCCTACATTAAATGTTATGACGTATGACAAGATAATGAAGATAATGGTTTCGATCGTATAATCAAAGATTGGTGGTTTAATAATTATAGTATTTATATGTTGAATTGATATCATAGAAATACGTAAAGAATTCCATATGATTAATTTATAGGATGAATAAAAGGGTTGATCATTTTGAGATGATTTTAAATTTCTTCTTATATATTGAATAAAACGAAATGCAACGTAAACGTCAATCAGAAGATCATTTATGGTCATAATCAACAAAAATATCCTTCCATGATTCGCGTCATTATCACATAAGGTTGTATTATTATCAAGAATTATTTGTGGTCGTACGAATACAATATATATTATCTATAAATAAAAAAAAAAGAAAAGATGTTAAAAATGCATGTACAAGATGTACAAGGTAATAAAATACTTACATGTAATAAACTTCTTGTAAAAAGTAAACCGTATCCAATAAAATCATCCATTTTTGATGTTTTAAATTTTCTTAGTTTCCAGACCAAGAAAATCATGATAGATTCAGAAAAAGCAAAGTTCGTTATCATTTGCAAATATGTAACCGTCAAACATTCAGGTAAAGAAGTGGTATTTTTAGTAAGAAGTACTCCAATATTGAATATACTGTATGAGAGACCACTTAGATTAAGAATAAGTTTTATAATTGATATTTTTAAATCATTTGCACGATTATCACGACAAAGTAGGATCGATTTAACGAGATTATGTAAAGAAGCCTTATTTTTTGAAATAAATAAGATATATAAGTACGAGTCACTGTATTTACTCACTATGAGTATTTACTCACTACGAGTGTTTACTCACTACGAGTATTTTAATAAATCTTTTACTTACCATAGTCATTAATACTGTAAGAACCATAAAATATGTAAATTCAGCATCTTTATCCATGATGATTTATAATACGTTCGACGATTACAAATTTACAAAGAACTTGATGAGCGAAATAAAAAAAAAAATTATATCTGAGGTATGAAAAAAAAAAAAAAATAATAAAATTTTTTCACTCATTTTTATAATAAAAAAAAGGGGGTATTAAAATTCTGCATTTTCCCGTAACCTTTAATGAGAATATTTTTTTTAAGAAAAAAAAAATTGTTTTAATTCAAAAAACAATAAGAACAATAGAAATTTTTTTTTTTTTTCTAGGGGTCAAAGGTTTGAAGTAAGAGAAAAATTAACTTAATATATCCATTATTGGTGATATCAGATTTGTCAATTTTTTTTAGAGCTAGTTTCAGTCATTTAGCGTATTACATCAACTTTTTCTACAAAATTACGCAGATTTTCTTAATTAGGAAATATTTAATGCAATGTAAGTGAACTCACACATTTGAAACTTAATTAAAAAAAAGCCAAAAAACATCCTTGGATAAATTAAGGGAATAAAAAAACTTACTGCGGATAATACAAAATATGAAACATTTTAGGTTCGATCTTTACTAAAATTGGAAAGATCAAATTTATAAAATCCAAATTACGAATATGCTTTAGTCCAAGTTATTACGGAGATACAAAAAGTTTTGTTTTGGATGTTTTGGATGTAAATATGTAGATTATTTTATTATTACGCATTAAATTTAATAGAAGATTCCATTCTATTGATGGAATTTTTCGTAATTAGTTTAGGAATATTAATGTTGTAATACATTATGCGAAGATCAAAATAATAATATTCTTTTTCCCCTTACGATGATCCCCGAATGATTCACGTGAAATTGGTCCATCAATCGCGAACTTTTTTAACTTTTTTAACTGTACGTGTTATTTGTTGGTAAATTAATCTCCAATAAACTCTTAAACTCTATCTATTTTTAAAAATTATTACTATTTCTATAAAAATGAAAAGTTTTAATTAAACGTACATTTATTTATTATTTATTTATTCGTCTTTGTTTTAAATTTCTTTGTTAATGATGTATTTGATGTAATTTAACGTCACATATTTGGTTAATACTTTTGTTTGATACGTGTGTAGTGTTTTTTTTTTCTCCTCTCTCCTCTTTGTCATTTTTAAAAAAAAAAAATCAAACAATGTTTAATTTTTTTTTATAATATTATTTCAATTATGATAATAGTTATAAATCAATATATTATCAATAATCATAATAATAATATTTATTAGAAATGTTTCATGCCAAATTCCCATAGTTATCATGGTTACCTACAATAACATTCCTTTTTTCATTTTTTGAAATCCCTTGCATAATCATGTGATTATTATAATAAATCTAGGTTATAAATTATTATGCAATCGATTAAAAATATATATATATTATATTTTTATATTTCTATTAATATTATATATATATATAATAAATAAACCCTTATTTATGTATCAATTTAGATTAACTCTTTGTAGGAAGGAGTTGAAACATAAAATCATTTAAAGTAAACTAAATTTTGATTTGATAAAAAATTGCAACATTTAAAATGAATTTGAATGACGAAAGATTGTTTTAATGTTTACAGATCATATATATTTTTATAGATACAATAATATCATAATATTAAAATTTTTTTTTTTTTTTTTTTTTTTTTTTTTTCATTGTCATACTTATTTATTTTTAATGATCTTTTTTTTTATTAAGAGAATAATGGTAAACGTTAAAAGTTGATTTGGTAGATCTTTGAGTAACTAAGTCAATGCCCAAGTGTTACTTAATAATTTAAGTAAACAAATCTCTCCAGTTAACTTAAAAATTCTGGATTTGGTAATTTTTAATTTATTGGTAAGTGGTAAAAATTTCATTGTATTTATTTTAATTTGACCAATCAAAATTTATTTAATTTTTTCTTTTTAATATATAAAATAATGTTTTTTTTATTAAAACAACGAAAATTCAATAAATTTAAAATTTACATATTTTAATATTTAATATATTTTTAATAATTATATAATCACTTAATATGGTAGGATATAATAACTTACATCAAACCATTTAAAAATGATCCTATGATATTCCTCGATATTGGTATATCACTGTAATAATATATTTAATTGGTTAATAAAAAAAGTAAATTTTAACAAATAAAATAAATAAATAAATAAAAAAGAAAAGAAAGGAAAGGAAAGAAAAAGAAAAAGAAAGATAAATAAATAATAATAAATAATATAAAAAAAATAAAATAAAATAAAATAAAATAAAAATAAAATAAAAAAATTAAAAATTAATAAAATTAAAAAATAAATTAAAAAAAATTCTATCAATTAATTTTAAAATATTTATAAGCAAAGATCGAATTGTTTAGAATCATAATTATTAGTAATAATCTTATTGGTATAATGAACAAGTTTACTGGTATAAAGGTTTCTATTAAATTCAACAATATTTTCTTCCTCTTCATAAGGTATTACATCAGATTTTGCAAATTGTTGATAAATTTCTGTTTCCACTTTTTGTTCTTTAACACAATTATACCATTCATTACAAATTTCATAAATTTCTGTTGCTGTAGGTCGATTTTTTGGTTCATTATCCAAACATCTTTGCATTAATTTAAGATAACATGATGGTGTACTTTTAACAATTGGTGGTCGATTACCATCAATAATTTTTAATATAAGTTGATAATCATGTGGTGTATCATAAAATGCTGGTTTACCGGAAGTAATTTCCCACATAATAATTCCAAAACTATATACATCTGCTGCTTGTCGATAAGGTTTTCCGGATAAAATTTCTGGTGCCATGTATGGAACTACTCCATATATACCACCATCTGGAACAAAATCTTGATCCGCACGTGACAATCCAAAATCAGATACACGAGGATAGTTGGATATTTGTAAAATATTACCACTATGAAAATCACAATGAATTAATCCTGCTTCATGAATAACTTTAAGATCTTGAATAATTTTTGTCGTAAATTTTAATTTATCTTCCCATTTTAAAGTTTTATGATTTTGTTGTAAAAATTGTCGTAAATCTCCATATTGTGCGTAATCTAAAACTATAATAAACTCTTTTGTTACTGGATTTCGACTAATTCCATAGCATTGAAGAAATTCATCCTCTTGTAACATCATACATTTATGATGAGTTTTAATCTGAAATCATTTCTTAAATTAATAAATTTTATTTTAACGAGAATATTAATTTAAATAATTATTTATATACTAACCTCATTAAGAAATTCTTTAGCTATATTGGGTCTATTACGAAAAGATTTTAAAGCAATACGATAATCTTTATAACTGTGTCTTACATATTTCTTAGCTACTTCATCCCATTCAAAATGGCCTTTTAAACAATTAGTTCTTGTTGCCAATGATGCTACAGCAAATCCTCCCTCTCCAATTTTTTTAATATCCTTGAAATTTTCATAAGGTATAAATTCTAGGTAATCATAAGATCGTCTTGCACTAATAATTGTTTCTCTAATAAAATTATCTATATCTTCATCTCCACTTGGATTTTTTAGATTATCTTCAAGTAATAGTTGTGAACAGCATGGTGGGCACCAATTACTAGATGTTTTGGGCCCACCACAAGCAGGACAGAGACCATAATTCTTTGTTTGTCCAGTTGGTTTGTTTGAAGATACCTCAATAGTAGAGCTGATCCCATTCTAATATGAAAATAGCAACTAACTACACTATCACTTTTTTAAAAAAAAAAAATAAAAAAATAAAAAAAATAATGAAAAATTAATAATTAATTTACATACCTTCGATGAAAATTCAGCAGGTAATTTGGCATCAAACCATTCAGGAATCTCCTTTCCTAATCCTTCAAGAATTATAGCTGCACAATCCATGTTAGTTACTTCACTTTCAATCTTTGAGTTTGGTTCAATCCCTGCTCCACTAACAGCTAAGAATACATTAACTTCCACATCACTATCTCCTCCATGTTGTGTTCCAATACCACCATGATCAGTTGTCATAATAATAAGTGAATCATCTTTCCATCCCACTTCTTCGATAGTTTCAAGAATTGTTGCGACTTGCGAATCCATAATCTTGATTTGTTCAAGATATGGTTGAGATCCATAACCATGTCCATGTCCATGTTCATCCACATCAGTTAGATGGACAAGCAACAATTCTACATCTTTATTCTCTGGATTACGAATATAATCAACTAATCTTGAAATTACAGTATAGTCATAAACAGAATCTTTAAGCCAATGATGTTTAAAGCGTAACCACCATTTCCAGAAAACATTCTCATGAGTAAGAGGTGCATACAAATCAGTTTTAACTGACAATTCAATAATACCAGTATTGATTGCCTCCCACGCTACATAAGATGCCATCTTAATATCTTTAGAGCTATTACCAAGTATCTTGTAGATACTGGGATAAGGGTCATCTTCTTTATATGGTACTCCTGCTTCAACATCACCATTTTTTAGTCCATGCTTTTCTGGAAGAACACCATGTAATATAGAACCCCAGTTCTGAGCACTATCCGTTGGCACAATCGCTTTTGCTTTTAATGAACTAGCACCAGAAGCAAAAAATGCATCAAATGCGGGTGTTGGTACCTCTGTAAAAAATCTGCCAACGCCTATGTAAATAAATTAAATTTACCTTTCAGTATAAATAAAATATTAAATACAAAATTATTTCATCCTTTCACTTACCGTCTAAAGCAAGAACTATAACGCGTTTATACGGACTCTGCAAAGGCATTTTCACGAAAAAAAAAGTACAATATTGGAATATATAAAATTGTAAAATTGTAAAATTGAAAACTACAAAAAGCAGTTGAATAAAAACAACAATCGCAACAAGCAATATAAATACATTAATGGGTGTGATGATTAATGCGGTGATAAAAATTCATCAAGAACAATATGTTATACTATAGGACAATATTATATTGGGTTTTAATATATTCGTATAATCGGTAATAATAATATATCTGTTATTGATCAACTATGATCAACAAATTGATTTTTCTGCACAACATCAACAATCTTTTTTTTTGATTGTCTAATTGTCTTTTGATTAATTATAGTGTCTTTTTTAGGTTTTTGAAACCTTTTCGAGTAATTTCTATTTGTAATTGAATATTATTATTATCAACAATTAGACTCCTTTTTTTTACGACAAGAATTCTTTGATGATTAAAAAGTCTAAGGTTTTCTTTTTTTGAGTTCAAGAAAGTTGCAGTAACCTCCTGTAGTTTCACAGGCACATTAGGATTGAATTTATTTTTGTATCTATTTGTGAACAAATCCTTCAATGATTTCGCTGATGAATAAATTATAACCAAAAATTTTTTGTTTTAATATTTCATATATAGTAATTTTGTGTAAGTTTATCGTGAAAAGTTCATTGAAACTCATTATCTTTTAATTCTTGAAATAATCTAAAAGATACTTTTTTTTCATTTTTAGATCATTTGTTTAATTCATCTATATCTACTTTTTTTTTTTTTTTATTCCTCTCCAAAGGACCCCAAGTCTATATATATAAAAAGAGGTAAATACTAGCGTTATGTTTACTAATCCATTTTAATTTTTGTTTACTAAATCAAGAAATTCATTTTCAGGCGTTACTATGGGGGAAAGCCTGCCTATCGAAAAAAAAAAGATTTGAAGGTTAACTAAATTTATATATAATATAATAATGAAATGTGATGTCATGTGATTACTCATATTCATGTGATTTTTTTTAAGATCTTGAAAAAAAAAATTCATGATCCCATCTATAATGACTCGGATATTCAATCTTTAGTTGTAATTCATTCAGCCCCTTGTTAAACTTTATCTGGAATTTCAACTTGTACTCTAAATGAATTTGGAAAAGGAATCTTGGATTGATAAATTTGTAATATCTTTCATCAAAAAAGCTAGCTAATCATCAAAATCGTACCATTACCAGAATTTTGCATTACATGTTAAAACCATAAATTCTTCAAATAACTTTCCGGAACATTACCAGATATGTCTAATTGATAAATATACACAAAAAATTGAAGGTGAGTGCCTTTTCGATCTAAATTTTGTTTTGCTAAAGATAGACTCTTTTTTTAAATGCATACTAATTCATTAACAATTACTTGGTGATTGATTTATCATTATTATTCATTATACTCACAATGAAGATACTATGATGAAATAAGTAGAAGTGGATGTAACAAAAGTCTAGAAGTTATATTATCACAAGTTAGCTACATGTAACCATAGGGAATTCGAACATATGAATTTAACTACATTTGATCTAGTCATATATGCTATATAATCAGTTAGCATTTAGCTGGATCTGGTGAACGCATATTAATGGTTTCTCCGACACTAGAAGATTCTGTGGATCTGGACAATGATCAAGTTCTTTTATACCAAGAGTAAGCACTAATTTTTTTTTAAATAAGATTATGCGTTAATAATTTTTTTTTTCTTTCTCACTTTTTGTCCTTTCATCTGCTATAATTCCACATTTAGAGTATTCTGTATGATTTTAAATTCTTCTATTCCTTTTTTTCATTCGATATTGTTGAGATACAAGTATTAGGGGAGTGACCAGGTTGCTTTTTTTTTTGTAGGTATGATGAAAGAATCTCACTTTATTAATATCGTCTGAATAAACTATAATATCAATCAATTTAAAGCATTTAAAGGATTGATTTTTAGATAAACCATTGATTTTATGATAAACTATTGATTTTATCATTTTAGTTTGCAATTTTATCACAAACTATTGGATCAATTAAAGTAATTAAAGTTATTAGATGATTATGATTTCTTTTTTTTTTTTCTATACGAGTCTTTAGAAGTTTGTTTTTTTTTGTTTACTTAATGATGGTATGTTAATTGATTAGATAATATCCGGTTCGTTATATCGTTTCTTTTTAATCAATCAATTTACTCAAATTTATAGTTGAATCTATTCTTTCATTAATTATTTTTTCACAAATAATTTACAAATATAATTGCAGTTTACACTTTTAAAATTTTTTTTTTTTTTTGCACAATAAAATTATATAATAATATATAATGTAAATAATACTTTTATTACGTAAAGTACAATTTTAACATTAATATGGTATGTATTTGAACTTCTTTATAAAAAAAAAGATACTATTAACTTTTCTATAGATAATTTTGTCTCGATCTATCACGTGATTATAATTCCTTTTTCAATCTTTAGTTATAAATATGGCCAAATTCTTTTTGATTCATAGTTATGATAAGAGCTTTGTTTAATCATAAATAAATTGAAATGAAAATATCTTTTGAATTTCAACAAATTTACCATAAATATTACAAAATCTATATATTAATTGAAAATTAAAGAAAATTGCGAACAATAGACGCAGCGAAATTACTCACATGAATCTCGTCACATGCAACGGCACAGTAAAAGTCTGGCGCAGTGCATCAAAAAAATTTTTCCATCATTCGTGCCGAATTCTGAAACTTTGCGCAGTATCGTACCGGCGATAACGCAGAAAAAATTAAGCAGTCAATCCCTTTTATATGAGGCGGAATTGAATTATGTGAAAATGAATCGTGGTGGTAAGTGTATCGGATAATTTATTTCGGAAATCTAGTGTAGTAAAAGAGTGTGGGATGAGAATCTTGTAGTTAGTAGAAACAAATTAGCTATAGATATTTTTTGTAAACGTGAGAGAGCAAAGAAATAATTGATGTTGAGTCTCGCATTAGATGGTCTAGGATCCCGCGCACTCCCTCCCTATTTGATAGCATCATATATTTTATTCGTTTCTCTAGCATTTTCTGATTTGCTATGTATCTAAAAATTCATTAATAAAGTTTGAGTATTGGATTTTTTGTATAAAAATAAATAAAAAATTAGCAGAGGAAATGAGTGGACAGTGGCGATTCGCGTCTCAGTCACGGTATACTGGAAAACATCATGTAGGGTAGGCCTTGAACACGCATGATCCAAGGAATTTCTGCAGAATGCTTCCAAACATCTGACACAGGAAGCAATGGCCGTATGCCAGTAGGTATACACAACGCAACCTGGACACTAACATGCAGGGTAGGCCTTGAACACGCATGATCCAAGGAATTTCTGCAGATTAGCGCCAAGCATCTAAACGCAGGAAGTAATGGCCATACGCTAGTAGGGTTGCGCGTGAAGGAGTTTACTTTTCCGAAACCTGGAATATAATTAGTATATATAGTATATATATTATTCAGATCGATCAAATATCGCTAAGCCACATAAATATCATATTACGCGAGTATTACGCGTAATCGTAAAAACTCGGGTTTAAGATGTTTAAATCACTATTGAACAATGCCTTGCGATACATAGAGCAAAAAACCGAATTATCTGAATATGCAATCAACAATACCCTCAAGGACGACCTGTATAGAGTTTAAGCAGAAAATGTTATGTACACGAGTATGCCAATAAAAAGGCAAAGAAACTACTGTTAAATTATGATAAGCTATTCTCTTCAATCGTTGTAAAACGTTTTATTGATGAAGTTGAATTGAAAAATGAAAAAAAAGAATTACGCAGTAATAAATCGAAATGTTACATCCACAAGTACGCTACAGGCACTAGAAGTAAGTCTTAAAGCAAATTTAGGAATAAAATAAAATATTTCCTATTAGGAACATTGTAAGGTGAGGATAGCAATAGAAGATATGCGCAACAAAGACGCTACCTCTGCTATAGAGGATCATACGGCGGTAATACGATAATGAACCCCCATTGTATGTATGGTTTTTATTGCCTATACTATATAGTTATTAATTTTATACAGTATACTGTTACTTTAAGGTTAAGATTGGGGTTAGGATTAGGGTAAGGATTAGGGTAAGGATTAGGGTAAGGATTAGGGTTAGGATTAGGGTTATGGTTAGGGTTAAGGTTAGGGTTAGGGATTTGCTATTTAAAATATAAAGATTAAGAGTAGTTATACAGTACGGATAGAAAAACTATACTGTATAAAATGAAAAACTATACCATACATACAACGAAGGTTATATCATACTCATTATCTATATACTCATCATACGGTTACCACCAGCGTTACCAGCGCGAAGAGACCCTTTGAAGAAAAGGAAAGAACAACAAAACGTACCAGAATTTGTAGGGTAATGACTGTTATTGGATATTTTGTTGCTGGGTTATCGTTTTTAGACTTTGACCGCTAACTAAATTCTACCTGATTACCCTTTGCAATAACAGGATACTAATGAAAATCCCTTTTTAATATCGGGAGAAAAATCATCTAATGACGAATTTGAGGATGATGAAATAGTAACAAATCCGAAAGAAAGTGGAGTAATGTCACTATCTCCTCAATTACAAAATGAAGATTCACTTTCTCATACTCCAAACAAGCGAAGGATGAATGATGAGAGGATTGTCCAATACCTTAATTCCATGAATCAATCTTTAAAGTATAATCAAGTTACGGTTCAGAGGCCATCTCTATGGACGGAATCCTTAGATACTTATATTGATAATGTTTTGAAGGTATTTCACAATATTAATTAACATTAGATTGGAAGCAAAAAGCAATGCCTAGACACCTTTTTTACCGTATTATAGGAATTAAAGGATACTTTTAAATCGGAAATATTGAAGATAAAGATAATAGGTTTCGCCTTTATTGTGAAAAAATATTAATGGATTTGTAAGTTTTTTTTTCCCATTTATTGTTACTCTTTAGATGATTTAATGCTTAACCAATTTGTTTCCTAATTCTAGCTACAATATGGTCGATATATTTCCAAATCTTTCAAGAAAAGTTGGAGAACGAAAATATATCATTCAAAACATTTCCTCTTTGTTTAAATTTTACGAAGTCACATTTGGAAATGTTAGCTTTGATTGGATAGAGTCGCACTCACCAGCATCTAAACTAGCGAAATCACCTACAAATTCTGGTATAGTTAAAGTTGACATAAGTGGTAAGCAATAATATATATCTATAACTTCTAATATTCAACAATGGTTTCCTTAATTATTCTAACAATCTTGAAAGGTGTTCGATTATTCGATGATAAGGAAATTTTTCACGCAGAGGTATCGGCCCACCATCGCCATCATCAGGTGATCATGCTATTAACGATGCAAAAAAGTCTCTACACACAGATATTTTGAACCTAATTGCGATTCTGCTAGATCACCTTCGAGTTCTTGTAGAAGATGCAACTAAAGTTAAAGTTTTTAGTTTGCAAGTGATTGGTGAGTATCAAATATCTTAAAAAAGAGACGCCTAAGTTATTAATCTTGTGTCTTGATTGATTATTAGAATATCGTATGACATTGTATTCACTTAACATGCTAAACGATGGCACTTTTCTCACATCTGAACTGTATTCTACCTTGTTACCATTTTCGCTTGATGCAATATCAAAGTACAAGGGAATCCTTTACCTGATGGCAGTTCTTCATGTAAGAAAATTTGTTTCAGTATAGTTTATTAATCTTTAATCACTCATAAACCTTCTGTGGTTTTCAGGAAGAAATCACGAAGCAAATCTCTATTATGAAAGACTTTGATCTAGCAGTTCATCATAATGGAAAAAGTATAGTTCGAGACGTGCTAAAAATTCCGAAAGGTTTAAAGGAACTATTGATCATAAAAAAGTAATACAGATGGAAGTTCTAGAATAATTGTTTCAAAAATATATGGGGATCGCTTCTGATATAAAATGTAAAATGTAAAATGTAGATTGCTTACTTGTTATGCATTATTATATTCTTTTTACATTGTGGCTTTTAATAATTTGTTCTGTACGAATGGTCATACAATTGACCATTTGTTCTTTATATTGTTATAACAAATTAAATAAGAAACGATGATAATGATTGACTTTAGCGGTTTTGCGAATGCAAACTATTTATTTATCACTGCCAAAACTTGTGATAAATATAAAATCACGTTAGGAATAGAATGCGATAACTTAGCCTTGTGCTTAACCAAAGTACGAATTGAAGAAGTAGCAATAGAGCATTCAGCCTTAGATAGATGCGTAACTTGCATTCTGTAATCCAATTTTGGGATCAAAACAGTATTATGGAGATAAACCACTTGTTGAACAGTTAACTTCACAGGGTGGAGAGTCGCAGAAAATGAATTGCATTCTTGTTTGAGTTGTTTCTGAATGAAATTCTGAGAGCCATTAATGTTAAACCAAATACCCAGGAAATGAAAGGACGAGGACATAGGGATAAGAGTGACAGTGATAGTAGAGGTGTTATTAAGTTGTGATCCAAGCAAGTTAAAATCAACAGGTGGCCAAAAAATATTTATTATGATTGGTAGAAGTGTTGTTAAGATGATAAAACTCTTCAGTAATCATTAGCATATGTTCCATTTCTTTTTTAGAAGAGGAGATCAAAGTAGAGTCATCCATAAACACCAAATTGTTGACTTCCAGAACATCAGGAGAGCATGAAGTGGAGGATAAAGTAGCTGGAGCTGAAGGAGAAACTAATCGATAAGGATCCTTCTTTTCATTTTTAAGAGCCATAAGCAAAGGGTCTAAATATATAACCCATAAAAGTGGAGAAATAATGACCAAGTCACACTTTTGGCGAATTGACCCATTTTTTAAGGGCTCAAAAAATCGTTTTTTTGTAAATATCTCGGCATCCAGTGGTCCAATTTCGATAAACCTTTTTTTAAATTGTAGATCTGAATAAGGGCTACAAAATAAAAAAAAGTTCATTAGAATTGAATCACTAGATGCTGAGATATTTATAAAAAACGATTTTTTGAATTTTGGCGAAGTGGTATTTTTGGCCAAAAGTCTCTTATGACCTATATATTAGTTTTCCAAGGTCCTGTTGGAAACTAACAACAACTTTTGGCATGTTTGCCTTATATCGTATTTAGAAAAACTATTGGCAATCTTACAGCATATAACAATTTTAATTTGTTGGATTATTTATTAAACTTTCTATCAATGTTTAAAAATGTAAAAGAAAAGATAGGAATGGGATCAGAACCCTTTTCAGAAATATTATTTAAACCAATGAAAAAAAATATAAATCTTTCACAAGAAGTACAAGAATTATTAGTAGAATATTACAATAATACTTATGATTATTCTTTTATAACACTATCGAAAATACATATTTTATCATTAAATTCAATAACAGTTTTACCAAAAGTTAATCAATTTGGTAGATTGAGATTTAGCGCTGAAGTATTCAGGTCCATATTTTTGGCAAGACACTTCAGATCAGTAAATATATTATCTCAATTTGTTTTAAATGATAATAATACAACTGATATTTTTCCTGGTTGAATTCAATTCTTTTAAATATACTATAGTTTTACCAGATATAAAGCCAGTAAAATACAATTTGGTATTTATTAGATGGTATAATAAGCTAGCAGATGATTGTAAAAGTTAATACCATTGTCAAATTGACAAAGATAGAACAAATATCTGCAATATCAAATTATGAAAAAAAGCTTTTTATAAATTGAATTATGATTGTATCATACCAATATACAGTATTTTAGGACAATTTGTTGGTGAGATTATAAAAATCAATAAAAAAAACCTAAAAAAATGTTTGTCAGTTATTCATATTAATAGAAAAATTCACTTGTAATTTAAAATTTTAACGCTTCAAATATACAAAATATTAATATAAATATCGTATTATTATCATATAAAAATTAATAATTTATCAGATATTTGATAATTTGTCAATATGAGTTTAAAAAATCATTTATAATTATGTGAATATTAATTGCTTATTGGCTACTGATATGTATTTGATTTTTAAAATAATCTGCTAGTAGCATATCAGTTTATAATATTTTTCTGATTTTATCTGATATGCCACAACCTGATACCTTATCATTCAACCAGTATAAACTTCTTAGATTTGGATTTTTTTTTACTATTCTTGCTATTCTTTTTTAGTTGGTGGCCTTCATCATTCTTATCGTTGAAAGAAACAATCTCAGTAGATTTATTAGAAGCTTTAATAGATGATAATTTTTTAGACTTTTTGGACATTTTGAATTTCTTTTTATTTAATTAATGATCTTTTTTACCGCTCTCATCATCAAAAGAAACAAATCTAATGGGTTTGTTAGAATCTTTAATAGATGATGATGTATTTATAATATTTATAATAATTATAATATTTATAATATTTAATTTACTTAATTTTTAATATATTTAGATAACTTTTTCTTTTTTTTTATAAGGGAAGTGACACATATGACATAATTATTAGAGGGAGGGAAGGGGATAATTAAAATCTAACGTTACATTTATTCTATTTATATAAATTGTATAATTAAATTTAATTGGTTATTAAATCTAACAAGGGGGGAAGGGAGGTAGAATTCATAGTAAAATGAATATGACGTAATATGTGTCACTTCCCTAAATAATTTTATTTATCATCTCTAATAATTTCTTGAAATAACTATCTTCAGTTCATTTAGTGTAATATGTAAATCATATGTTTGTATATATTTTTATTAAAATATCATGATAAATAATTATTACAATAATTAATTAATTAATAATAATATACAAAAAATTAGTATAAAGATATAATTAATAAAGAATTTTTTGCAGTAATATTAGGGCAGTGACATTTATTACGTAATATTTTAGGGGTGGAAGGGTATTTAAAGGTCATATAACATATAAGTGTAACGTAAGATTTTTCATATTACATGGGGGTGGGGTAAGGTTGCTTGTCTAAACCTCCTCAAAATCCTACGATTAGTTTCGTCAAAATTTTACTATAGATTTATTATAGTTTCGGCAGAGTTTTTGCAGTTTCGGCATTTATAATAAGTTTCGGCAGTTTCGCCTTTCTCCAAAGTTTCGCCAGTTTTTTAATATAACTTTAATATAGTTTCGGCAGAATTTCACTTTTCGGCAAAACGCCATCTTGCCTAAACCCCTAGGTTTCGGCAAGCAACCTTAGGGTGGGGGAGTATGGGCTTATAGTAAATGGATATTACGTAATAAATGTCACTGCCCTAATACAAATTAACATCTAGCCCAATGTTTCTTAATTGAATATAAAATATTTTTTAAATATGATGTAACTTCTAAAAAGTTCATATATAAAGAAATAAATTGTATTTTAAAAATTTCTTTAAATTATATATTGTGACAAATAAATAAAATCATTTTCAAATGCAATAAATTGGAAATAAAGTAAGTATATTAGATTCTTTTTAATATTCAAAGTTATATAAAAAATACAATGTAAATATTGTGTTATTGAAAAAACAGATTTCAGTACATTTAAATTAAAAAATTTGACAGAATGTTAGAAATATAATATTTATAAAATAATGAAATATTTTGAAGAAACAAAGTAGCTTTACTTACTTCTTTTAATGTTAATAAAGATGAAAAAAAGTTATTAAAAAAAAATATTCAAAATAAAAAGAAAAAGAAAAAATTTATGTCAATCATATAATCATATATTAGAATAACATTTAATAAAATTATCAGTGGTGATTTAAACAAAATATCTTTTTTTATAAATTTGCAATTAATATTAAATTTACTTATTATATAGTTTATATTTTGGTTTTTATAAATTTAATTAAATTTAATTTAAACTTATAATTAAGGTTTGGCAAATTAAACTAAATTTAAAAATTTTATATTTTTAAGCTTTTATAAATTATATTGATATTTATAAAAGTTTACTTGTTTTTTTTTTAATATTATGCAAATAATTAATTTGTCAATTTTTAATAGTGTATAATTAATAAAAAATAATTGTTAATTATAGTGATAAATAATATATTATATTACTCCAAAAATTAGTTTATTGTGTTAGTTATATAAAAAAATATAACTAAACTGTAAAACTTAATTAAATTTATAGTCTATATTATTACAAATATAATTGATATTTAGCTGATAAAAAAAGGTATCAATTATTTAACCATTAACAAAAAATATCCATTCAGTAATTGTAAAAAGTAAAATATGGCTCATTTAATTATTTATCTTGATAAGATGGGTTGAATGATAGTAGCTAGTTTTATATTTCTATATATAATAGATGAAATATTCAATAAAGTGGTATTTTTATTTATATTTATTATGCTGTTTTACATTTTGTTAAATATCTTGCTATCTATAATATACAGAAATGTGAAAATGTTTGTTTTAATTTTATTAGATAATAATTATTCAATATACAGTATATTTGATCTTGCTGATTTCTAAAAAGATTGGTTTTTCATTGGAATTTTTTAAATTTTTTTAAACTATATTTGAATTTTTTTAATAAAATTATAATTTAGGTTTTAGCAAATTAGGTTAAATTTAAATATGGATAATTTGATTTTAGCAGATTATATCAATTTTAAAAAGAGCAAAAAACTTTTTTTACACTGATCAATTATGACCTATATATTAAATGTACGGGATCCTTTTGTTATATTGGTATAAATGATTTATTTTAGAATAATATACATAAAATTAATGCAACAATGTATGTATTTTATCAATCATAAAACTAAGCTAAAATTACTGTGAAGGACTAAAATATATTACATTTTACACTAAATGATAATACGAAATATAAGCATTTTCTATTTAATTTTTAGCATTAGCAAACAAGAACACTTATTGATGAAAATTAAATTCCAAATTCTCCTCGTACTGCATACTGAATTAAAAAAAAGTCCCAAATCAAATCCATGGATCATTGCTGCTGTAAGGAGTTGAAGAGGATCTCTCTATCGAAAAGTTCAGTGTCCGGGATGTTCATAATATACTGTATGTTCCAATACTAGTCGTATTTCAAGCAGGATAATTATTGCCAGAAATTGAGCCAGAGAGTCCAACTCCAGTAATGTTATATAAAGGAACACCCTTGGTATTGGTAATATAGTTTAGGGTTATTCTCTGTGGACTTGCTGTTCCAATCAACTGGAATCAGCGGAGTCAGCTTGTTTGTAGGTATTTTGCGGTAATTAAAACCTCAGTATTGTCAATCTTAGGTTGGAAAATTTTAATTACCAATACAATTTGGACTGTTGTATACGGAGATAATATTCATGTTAGGGAAGTGAATTCCTTCTTCCTGACTTTGGCCTTGTTGATCATTCATGATCAAGAAACTTGTTCCCTAGAGTAAACTAACAGAAAATAAGGAGCCACTTTTCGGTGGAGATCAGGAAGACTTGGTGTTGCTGACTTCGATAACCATTGATGGATATGGATTTCCAAAGTTATCTGCCGCTGCACCTGGTAGTGGCAGATTTTGTTCTATAGGTCGGACCCAAGAATCAGGCTTCAATGAAAATTTTGCGCCCAGAATAAGAGTTGTATGAGTTCCATACTTCAAATTTTGATGATACCAAGCATATAATTCACCCATGATAGTTGCCGTTGCTGGTTGAATCTGGTAGTGAAACAATTATATGAATATGCTCTTCAGTTGGTATGACAGGAAAGTATTCAAAATCTTTTTTGTTGCAACAGGCCATGCAGTGAAAATATTTCTCAATTTATTGCTATTATCATCAGAAATTTAAACTTTCCATAATTTAAGCTTGTCTGCATAGCAAAGTCTCGACCTAATGTGGTAATTCAGATACTTCATATGCTTTAATTGTACCGTCATCTAAACATATGCGAACTGGAAGGTTTGGGTCACAGTAACGATATTAAAGATAATTATCAATCGATACATTTGTTTTTAGAATGATTTCCCTTGATCCCGTGTATTCTTCTGACTCTACTTGGGGTAAAGCAAGAAGATGGTTTTTAGCTAAATTAAAGTCTTTAGTGGTCACGTAAATTTTCTTTTTCTCAGATTGTGAAGATGAGTTGATGGTGTTAGTTTCTTTACGTGTATCTGTGGTCTGGTAAGCCTGAGAACTAGCCTGAGAACGAGTGTGAGATAAGGAGTATAACAAACTGAATCCGAAAAGTGCACGTTAATATCAATAGACTTATCAGATAGAAAACTATAAACCTTACAACGTTAGAGCTCAATATATTTTTTTAAACGATCAAAAAAAGGTATGTATTTATAAAAAAAAAAAATTTATCAGCCAATTAATCTAGAGTTATCATGTGATAATGACTGATAAAAAAATAATTTTTTAAATTTTTTATTAATAAAGTTCTTTATCACAAAATTTATTTGAAAGTCATTGAAGTACATGTACATATTCACAAGTTTAATAAGTTTTGAAGTTTTGAACTATGATCCTTGTACTCGAATTTATAAATTCATTTGATTAGATACGATACATTTTTCAACGAAAATATGATAAGACAATTCCGATACGTTTTATATGATCAATAGTGAGACGATATTATTTTTGAAACGAGTAGTAGTACATCAGTGGCGAAATTTCAGAATTTTTTACGGCTTCCCAATACTCAATATTAGAAGACTATTTTGAATTTCTATATCAATACTTTTTCAATTTATAATTTTTATCACAAATAAAGATTTACTATATGTGTGCTTCAAATAAGATATCTCACTAATCTCTGCTTACCAACAAAAACTAGTTAAACCACTATTTATTTTATATCCCAATAAAGAGTAAAAAAGGTAAATTTATTTATTATATTGTATATTTTACATTATTTACTATTTAATATATAATTACATCAGATTTACTACAATAGATAATTGTATAATAGACAATTATTCAAGACGTAACCGTTTCAAGGCACGGTTCTTATCTATAGTAATAGGTCTGTTCCTTTGTGTAGCACTAATAATAAGATTCCCATCAGGTTGTACTTTAATATAACCATCTCCATAATTTTTCACAGGCCATTCAATATAAGGACCACAAATCTCTTTTTTTTTATCATTATAACAAAAAATTGTTTTATTCTTTAACCTATTACCAATATTAATGGAAAGAGAGGTAATACGATGATCCTCTTGAAATTTTTTATTTCTTGGTTGAATTGTAGCAACTAATGAGGGATTACCATCACCTTCATAACCTGGATCATAAAAAATTTCAAATGGATAATCCAAATTGAATTCATCTAATTTAATTGTGGTCTCTTCTTCAATACGAATACGACAAAGCTTTTTTCCCCCATTTTCCGAATTAGTTAAAGCTCCATTTTCCGAATGATTTATTGTTCCATTTTCCGAATTAGTAGTTACTCTATTTTCCGAATTGATTACTACTTTGCTTTCCGAATTAGTTGCTATTCTACTTTCTGAATTAGTTACTCCTTCACTTTCAGAGTTTGTTACAACTCTATTTTCCGAAATAAATTCTACGTTACTTTCAGATATTTCTGACATAATTTTTTTATTATTCGTAAACTAGCATATACTTTAAGCATACCACCCTTGTATTTATAATAAAAATTTTAATAGGGCGTAAAAAACCAATAATCTAGAATTTTTTTGGAGACAATTATTTCTTGGTAGGAATAATTTCCGAATAAAGGTTTAATTAATCTACTTTTATGATGAAAGGAAAAAAACAAAATATATACAAAAATGGGAGAAAATAGTAAAGAAATTGTAAACAATAATATAAATAAATTTAAAAAGGTTTCAAAGATTACCAATAATATTTACGCAAAAAAAAAAAAAGAAAATTCTAAAACTTCTTAAATAATTTGAAACAATATCAATGAAATAAATTTTTCAAAGTAAACCAACCAATTTGAATGGTTTTTTTTAAACCCGAATAAACTCGTATAAAGAAAATAATATGGATTATAAGAATATTTACGGGATTTACGGGATTCTGAAGGTCATAAAAGAAAAAAAAGATCATCATTATTTTTATTAAATAACAAAATATGGCGCCATTACCTTTCAGCTGAAAACTGTACAAGATTTACAATACATTAATTTTGAAATTATGTGGAACTTCCTCACGTGATGACAACCAATTAATTGCCAACCTTTTCTCAATTCCTTTTTTAAATTCTTTTCTCTGCAAATTCTTTATCAAAATATGTATGAATATTAGTAAACCGAAATTCCGACTTCATAAAATATGTGACCTATTAAACTAGACCAAGTTAAATAATACTATTCAAACCAATAATCTAAAATTGATCAAAAAAAAAAAGCCAATTGTCCAAATCAGGAAAAGTCATAAAATTATATTTGGTAAATTTGATTCATTTAACATCTACGTAAAATAGTTTGAAAGGGTCGGAACCACTTAATATAATTGTCCCGAAACGGCGAAGATCCAAGTTAAATTAATTTTAATTATTTAAACACGTGCTAATACCTAAATATGATGCAAATGGACTCCACCTTTGCGATTTTATAATGGGATCGTTATGGCGCAGGTCAAATTAAAGTATCATGAGGAGAGTCATACTCTAATATTTTGATGAGATATCAATTTCTATAATAGGTTAATCAGAATTAATAATACAAAGAAAACATTGTTCTAAGAAGGAGGAAAATTTTTAATGCCGAAATCTTTCAATTATTAATAATATTTTCCCGAAAATTTGTCTTTCTCTGAACATACTTAGTAAAGTAATGTTGATGACAATGACGAAATTCATGAATTTTTATGGGAAAATCTTTTAACCATGTGATGTTAAAATTTAAAATTTATAAGCGAAAATACAATATATATATTAAACATGGTAGCTTTATTAAAAAAAAACAAGGTTCGTCTTTTTTTTCCTCTCCTTTTTTGAATTATTGTTAATTAAAGATGAATTACTTTAAAACGAGACCTAACTTTTTGTTAACATTAATAATAATAATCCTCATTATTGTACCATTGATAAATTCCGAACACGTCAAACGTTTTGAACATGTCAAACGTTCAGAACATGAACATGATTCTGAACAAACAACTCATACTCATACACATTCAGGAATAATTACAATTCCTCAAGTTAATGATCAAGATGAATTTTATATGGGAGTAGGAAAAAATCCATTTTGGTTAAAAGAACAAAATTTTATGTTATGGTTTCATGTTATTAGTATGATAATATCATTTGGTACATTAATTCCTATAGGAATCGTATTAGGGTTCGCCAATTCAAAATCAATTTGGTATATAAATTTACAAATTATTGGAATGTTAATAATAATTATGGGTTACTTTTTTGGTGTAATGTTTAATTCTTCAAAAAGTCAAGATATTTATCCTTCAAATTTTCATTCAAAATTTGGTTGGTTAATATTAATTATATTTTTTTTACAAATATTAATTGGTTTTATCAAATTCTTTTTTAATGATAAAAATGATAAAAATATTAAGGTTAAATATATAAATATTAGTTTAAGTAATAATGAATCAAATGATTCTTTAGTAACAAGTGTTGATAGTTCTTCTGCAGCATCACATGATATAGAATCATCATCCACTCATGATAATTCATTACTTGATTCAAATTATCCTTCAAATAATTTTCATACAAAAATTCGTTCAAAAATCCTTTCTATTTTACCTTCATCTTTATTATCATCAAAAAAATTTTTTAAAATTTTTTATAATTTATTAAGTTTAATTTTAATACTTTTTATTTATACTCAATTTTTATTGGGTTTTATTACTTTATCTGATACTTGTCATGGTGAATCTTTTGGAAATTGTTTGGCTCATTATGTTAAAGGTTCAATCTTCTTTTGGTTCGGTTTAGTAGCTTTCATTAGATATCTTGGATTTTTTGAAAAATTTGGTTGGAATTGGAATTTATTACAAATAAGTTCTTTGGATAATTTTAATGATGAAAAGAATCAAAAAGGAAAAATTTCTTTTTCTTTATTAGAAAGTATTATCATATTTTCTTATGGTATATCAAATACTTTTTTAGAACATACTGGTAAAGATCCTTGGAATCATAGAGATATTCAACATGCCACCCTAGCTTTCATGTGGTAAGTTCATCATTTGTTAAATTTGAAATGATTATTGCTCGAAATCTCGAAAAATCTAATGTTTCATTTATAATATATCTTTTTTTTTTTTTTTTTAAAAGGTGGTGGGCAGGTTCATTAGGTATTATTCTAGAGAATAAAAAATTAAGAAAAATTTTATTCTCAAAATCAAAAATTCCAATAGCGAATCCTATACCATCAATAATTTTTATAATAACAGCTATATCAATAAGTTCTCATCATCAAAGGACCGAATTTTCTTTAACTATACATAGACAATTTGGTGGTTTCTTATTATTAGCTGGTATTTCCAGATTATTTACTATAATAATCTTATATTTTACAAATATTATGAATAATAATAATAATAATAATTATAATTATAATAATAGTTATATTTATAATGATAATAATAATGATGATAATAACAATATCAATAACAATAATAATAATAATAATAATTATAATAATAATTATAATAATAATTTCAATTCAAAATCTTCAACAAAATCTTTAACAATAATCCATCCTCCAACTGAATTAATCTCATCATTTTGTTTCGTTTCTTCAGGTATCACACTTATGTTATCAAACAAATCTTTAACTTCCCTTTTTGATGAAGTTTATAATTTTGATGTTAATTTCGTTTTAAATTTAGTTATATCATTAACTTTTATTACACTTTCTTTTGTTACTTTATTATTATTCATTTATAAATATTCTTTAAAAAAAAATATGAATTAAAAATAAAAAAATGTAAAAATTATTATTATTATCATTATTATTAGTTTAGTTTGTGGATAATTTTTTAATATTGTATATAAAAAAAATAAATGAATGAATGAAAACATTCGAATAAAAAATAAATGGATGCCCAAATATTCTTTTTTTTAAAAAGTGAACCGTGATACCAAAATTGGTGTAGCCTAAAAAAATATTATATAATGATTTCCAAATTTGGGAAGATTATAAAATTTGGGGAAAAAATTATTAATTATTAATCAATAAATTTATCTATATTTGGAATACACCAAAAATGGGAGTAAAAAATATTCTCACATGATAATCCAAGGTCGCAGTATCCGATTCAATATCATATGATAACTTCCCAAATAATAATAAAACCGGATTCAATAATCCGATCTTTGTTTATTTCCCATTCAGAAATTACCTTATTTATTTATTTATTGTTATAATATAATTATGCGTAATGTATTTTTGGTTTATGAATTTAATTAATCGAAAAATGAATATTAATTGAGCTGAACGATTTAGAACGATTGAAAAAATAATTATTGATTTTCAATTTATTTAATTAAAAAAAAAAAAAAAAAAATNATTAAAAAAAAAAAAAAAAAATCCCCCCAACAAAATTAACCTCTTAAATTACTGTAATATTATTACTATTAATTCATAAAAGATTTATTAAGTTCCCCTAAAGTAGTATTATATTTGTTCTATTTGTATTTTATATAGATATTAGAATCTGGTGCTATTCTATTTAGGATATATTGAACAATAAATTTCTATTTTTTACTAGGACGTAACATTTGTCCTTCCCCTTTAAATGATGTTGGCTCATTTTCTTCTTGTTTATTGGCTCCCAATGGTACCACTTTATATCCAAAGAACAATTTACCAAATGGTAAATTCAATGGTGCAGGGATATTAGAAATATGTCCATTTTTGTCATGTTCGCTATTTTCGATTTTCTCTTCCAATTTTGAACCAATTGTACTACTCTTTGAACTTGAAGCTTTTGATGATGATGATTTTACAGATTTCCCATTTAATCGTTGTCCGCTTCCTTGAAATGCTGAAAATCCTTTTGTATCTTCAATGGATTCTTCTATATTTATCTTACTGGCCTATCGTTTAAAATAAATAACTGATTAATATGTTTTCAAGAAAAAGCATAATATTAATTCATTCATATAATAAACTAACCATTGATTGCTTTGGTTGTGGTTTTTCCACGTAACCTACAGGAGGTGCAAAGTCAACCTAATCATTTATTAAAAAAAAAAAAAAAATTGTAAGATTTTACACGTTTAGAAATTAATTGATAGAATAAGAATTTTTTTTTTATCAATCTTTACCTCTAAATCTGTTTCAACAATTGAAATACCACTATGAGAATCAATAGGCTTAACTTCTAAAACCATAATTTCATAAATTTTTTTATTATAATTTATTTGGATAACGTCTCTTTGTGTCAAAGTAGAAAAATTTCGAAGTGCATTTTCCAAACTAAATATAATAAATATATTAAAACATTTAAAAGATAACCTTTTTGTAAATTATTAAGAAAAATTAAATATTTACACAGCTTTCGGATCGTTTATATCCAAGAAATCAGGAGATTGAGGTTGAATCTTTACAAAAGTTCCCAAAGGTAATGTTGTATTTTTTATTTCAATCAAATCTCCTTCACTCAGTGACAATGTTAGCATCATCTATAATTATATTTGTTATTATACAAATTATCAATTAAATCACTAAAACAAAAGAGATCAATCAATATTTCTTACCCAGTAAGGTAAATAGACACGACCTTCTTCAGCGATAAATTCAAGAACTCCAGCATGCGAATGTTGTTGATTACTTGTGTTACGTAATTCAAACAGCATAGGATACTGTATGTTCAAACTTGCTATATAACAAATAGGTAACAATCAATAAAATATATTCTCTTATAATAATAAATTTTAATTGAAATTTTCTTTAAAGCTTACCTAGTTTTGCCAACGCGCTAGGAGGTAAGATAACTAAATAAATAAAATTTCGTCAATTTTAAATATCAACTACTCATTCTTTTGCTTTCAATACAATACTTTACGATTTACTTACTTTTACCACCATAATTAATATTCTCTCTTTCATTTCCCTGCAACATAACTACTGGATAGCATCTATACGTCTCAGTAAAACTCACATTTGGATTGTGAAGCGTTGGCATACCAAATAATGCTTGTTCGAGATGCTGCTCAAAGTCTTCGAAACCTGCATACTATATACCAGTAAAAGAATAAGTTTCACTTGTTCCACTTAATATCTTTTTTTTTTTAAAAAAAAAATACATTTTATATTAAATAACGTGTACTTTACCATTATAAATAATTTAATCAAAAGAAAAAATTTTAAATAAATCAAAGGAAGAAAGAAAAAAAAATTTTGGGTTAAATATTAAAAATAACGAAAGGGTTATTCAGTTTAATTATATATTAACTTATTGGGAGTACAAAATCGGATTGCAGCGTAATCCAAGTACGTAATCCTTCTATTCCATTTATCATTATAACGTTATACTACCGAATTGTATATAATAGTATAATAGTATAATAGTGTAATCAGATTAACGTCACTCGTGAATCCGAACAATTATTAATAGTTAAATCATTTTTTTTTTTTTTAATTTTTAAAATTTTCATGTAAAAAAAACAATAATAAATATAGTTTGTAAACAATTGAATATATTGAATTTTTTATTGTTTCTTGTTTATTAATGCTGCATATTTAATTTAGTTTTTTTTTTACCAGAGTAAATTCATAATCTTTAAGCTAGCTTCATAACCCAAAAACGTCGCTGCATTAGCCGGAAAAGCTCTAAATAAAGCTGGTCCAATGCCTTTGAACAATGCTTTTGTACCATCTTGTGCAATCGTTTTACGTAAACAATCAAAAGCATTTTTATAGGTACCTGGTGGAGCTGTTTGTAATCGAGACTTGATAACATCGGGCGGAATCGCAATTGACCACATAGCAACTCCGGCCATACCTAAGAAAAGAATTTAAAATTTTAAAGGTTTGCCATAGTATTTTTCACTTTGTATAGTTTACAATACGTTAATTGATACATTACCACCAGCAAATAAAACTGCTGCAGGATTTAAAGAATCAGGAGTAGCATTTGCAGGTGTCAATAATCTCTTAGTAAGCTCATATGCTCCAAAATAAGCAGCTGATCCTGGTCCATCCCGTGCTAATGTAGCCCCAACTCCACGATAAATACTCCTCAGACCTCCTTCCTTATAAAGCTGTCTTACAACATCAATTGGGCCCTTGTATTTATTTTCTCCTCCCTGTCCTTGAATTTGTAATAAAACTTTAACTCGTTCAACTGGTGACATTATCAATGTGGTTGGTCCCGCGGATATTCCACCTGCAACCATCAATTCTGTAATGCTAAGATCTGGAGAAGAACGATTGGGATTCGCCCACAAGACGATTTTTTTACCGAGGTTGTAAGACTATTATAAATGAGATTTATTAATCACACTACGAATGTAAGGTGGCTTAAATAAACTTTCAGAAATTTACCCAAAAACTTATTGCGAAAATTGGTGTGATGCCCACTAATGGAGGCCCCATACCCCTGTATAAACTTTTATACAATACGATTTATTAGATGAGACACGATGAAAGTGAATGAATTCACACTATAAAAGAACAAAAATATCTAACACACCCACGAAATCCATCCTTTGCAATTATTTGTTTTGTTGCATCAACCATTCCCGTATATGCTCCTTCGGGTGCTGTTTGCAAGCGAACCTACAAATATAACCGTACAGTTTCTCGCAATTTGTAACATAACACGAGAATGGAAATGATAAAATGCAAATATACCTTAATCAAATCGAATGGTTGACCTAATGAAAATTTTTAAGGTATAATATTAAGCAAACTTACTTTTCAATTGTATCTATAATTTGGCTATCATGTTCTATTTAAAATTATTTCTTTTTTTCAAATGAAAGAACACTCACCAACAAGAACACAGGTAACTCCACCGAACCCACCCGCTAGAAAAGATTTAGCACTACTTGTAGTTTGTTCTTTTTTAACCTCTACAGCTTCCTCGGGCTGTATGAGAGTAGCGGGTTCGAGTGCGGTGACTTCTGTCGACATGGCGGCGTACTGTTAATATTGCTGTAGTGTAATTTCATTGATTTTAAAGAACCAAGATCAAATTTTTTTGTACTACATTGTCTACAATGGTGTTCCCAGTTGATAAACTTTAATGATCTACGAATTTACAACATTTTTACGTAACACAGAACCATCATGATTGCATGTCAAAAAAAAAAATCACGTTTTATTATTGCAAGTTTAAGATGCATATATTTTATATATTTAAAATAATATAGAAATTATGTTCGTTATTATAAATATTTTATTGCAGTGTTAATGAATTGATATAATATGAGCTATAAAGCGAAATTGTGATTAGTAATTTTAACGCATCAAAGATATAAAAAATGTAGTAATAAACATAAACTTACATCTTAAAGGACACGCGACAGGCGCTGTATCATCCACTATGACTTCATGAAATTTACGTTGAAATTGATACTTGATTTTTAATTGCTTAGGTTCTCCCATACATGGATCGTAAAATCCCATGATATTTGACTATCAATATATTCAGTTTAGGGGGCTTACTATTTCATTAAATATTTCGAATCGTTAATTTAAAAAAAAGAAAATTCAAAATTACCTTTGAGTATCCTCCCGGAATAGTTAATTGTGAATCATGTACAAGAGCTTGAACTGGTACTCTCACATCAGCAACGTCTTTTTTTTCGTTTAAGGGGACGTCTCTTAAACTTGAGATATTGCCATACCAAGCTTCTAGAATAACTAAGCCATCCTTTACTTTTTCCGTTTCTATCTTGCGTTCCACTGAAGGCAGTAGAAGACGAATGGCTTCTATCGCTTCCTTCTTACGATTTTCTATGTATTCTGCATGAAGCTCCCGGAGAGCTGCCAATTTCCTTAATTGAATAAGTAAAGTTGATTTAGCATTACCTTCCATTATAAACACTAACAGAATTTGTATAATAAATTATACGGACTCGGCCTTCTTCTTTTGTCGTCTAGGCATTAATATGATTTGCTCAACTGCGGTAATTGTTATAATTGGTAGAATGGTGCCCCAAAGAATTATTTTATAGTTAAATTCCGGTGAAATCAGAATTGGTATAGTGATTCTTTGTCCTAACCGAGATAATCTGAAATAAAGAATCATTTAAGAATGTTTCAAAGAAATAAATTATTTTTACGCAAATTATAATTTACCTGCATTTAAAAGTTACTCCGTGGGGAATTCCACATTCAATTGCAAAAGAAGCTTTCGTATATTCCGTGACTTTACGTTCACCTAATAAAACTGCTGTCAAACCACTAGAAGTTGATAATGTAGCTGATGTTTTAACTAGATAATCATTAAAAAGTTTATGATTATAATTAAATGAAATATAAATTTGTGCAAGTCCTGTCTATGTAGTAAAAAATTGTTATTAATTATATTATTATAATGAATCTGATTTCTTTTTTTTTCAATATACACATATTTTTCGTGTTGTCATACCTGTATTTCAAAATTGTATCCTGACCTTTCAAAAGAGCCATTAATACTTATAGCAACCGCTGACTTTTCACGTCTGGAATACAATCCATGTTTCCCCCAAGGGCCTAACGACCATGCTCCAGTTTTATAAGTGAGATAACTATAATTCAATTATCCATTAACTTATTGTTCGCTAATATTTCTTAAAAGCTTAATATTTACCCGGTAACATTTTTCCCTAATACACGACCACCTGTAAATACCAAATTTGGTGGAGAGTAAATAGAATCTATGTGACCTGAGACAATGACAAAACTTTTTACAATGGAAAAAATTGTTAAAATATTTGACATTAATTAATTGAACCTTATATTTTAAATAAATACCTGTCTGCATCGATACTATATGAAGCCTTTGCAGTCACAATTCTAGGCTGAACTATAGAAGATCCGACCTAATACGACGATTGCGTCCATCTTATTTCAACAACTTGTTGGAAATATATTATATTAACAAAGTACAAGTAATTTCCAACATACTTCAGCCCAAACTTTTGGTGAAAATGAATGCCGTAATGTCCCGATAATATTACCACCACCTATTCCATTACGTAGAATAGTTTGGCCAACTACTACTGCTTGAGTTTGTGGTCGTAATTGAGTCTGTTATATATGAAGAATAAGTAATTTCAATCTAAATAAAAAAAAAGATTTCAGTCTAGAATGAAATGATCATACTTCAAAGGAATGTTTCATGCTAAGCTGTTTTACTTCAGCATTCTCAAAAATATTCTGTATATTAAGTATAGAGAATCGATTGCTTTGACGACTTCTGCTATCATAAGGATCAAACACTTGTGTTGCGTCTATGATTAATTGAAGATCTCCCTATTGAATATAATAGATTCTGTATAAATTTGTAAAGTCTTTTTTTTAGAAATATAAATAAACATTTGATAACCCTCACCTTTGCTTTGACCATATTTTCGACTTCTTGTTGCCTTTTTAATCTGGCCTGTCTTTCGAATTCTTCTCTAAGCTAATCGTAAATTATATTATGTGTTCATTACTCTTTAAAGTACAATTAAAATTGACATAATTAACATATGCCAACCTCTTGTGGAGTCTTCAAGCGAGGCCCAACCTCCCAAGAAGTACTTAATCCTTCTTCACCAAACATATCATATACTATTCTTTTATTCGGATCCGTAAGGACTGGACAAATAGATATAATGTAAGACACAATATCATCAATTGCGTAATTCGATAAATAACAAAATCTCATATTTCATTATGTCAAGAAGGTAGTTTATACCTCAAAGTTCACTTGCCTTCGTAAGCTTTTTGAATAACTTGAAATTTCGTTTCCGCTGCTTTCTTATTTTCCGGATTTATATGTTTATCTGGGTGAAAAGTTCTACATAACCGTTTATAAGCGTCTTTAATTTCTTCTTCGGTTGCCTATTTGGAAAAAAAAAAAGCATGTAATTTTTTTTCATTAATTCTTCTATAAGGAGATAATAGTACCTCTTTAGGAACGCTAAGGACGCCATATAAATCTAATGGAGGAGGTGTTTGCACCTCCTGGTCAAAATCAACCTCTTCGTAGTCTCCGTCTAAGTTTGGTACCGAGCTAGAACTTTCATACGAATCCATTTAAATTAAACCTACAGAAAGCCTACAAAAAGTTTTCATAAATAAAGATGCGTATCACGCTTTTATATCGGATGAATTTGATTTGACGTAGATGGTATACAGATATACAGATCGACAAGCGAATCTCTAAAAAACGCCAAGAAAGGCCCTTCTTTAAAGAAGACATATTTGGCATTCACCTACTATTCCCGCAATACCACAATACCACATGTTATTTAACAATATATTTAATTCATGCGTTTCCTTCCATTCATGTGCGTCGTCCTGTTATTAATCATTCTTTCCATTCTTGGTTTTGCACCCAACATTCATATCAAAATTTCAGATAAATTACTTCACTTTATAGGATTCTTTATTTTGACGGTAGCGATTTACTTTACATGGGATCGGAATATAAAATGGAATGCCGTAGTTACCGGTACATTATCATTGTCAGCGTCCTTGATAAGTGAAGTCATTCAAGGCTTTTTACCAGTAAGTATTATATAGTATATATAAAATGTATAATAAATAATTAAAAAACTTGTTATATCGATTAAAATTATTCATTCAGTACAAAATTTTTGACTGGCAAGATATCGCGGTATGAATTCACCTTGTCTCTTAATATGTATTTGACATGTAAAAAGATATATTAATTAAACTTTCGAAAATTATAGGCAAATTTCCTTGGCTCATCTTTGGGGCTTGTTCTTTCAATATTTGGGGATTGGATACGTAACCGATTCGCTATATATGGGAAATACAAGCAAGTTGATTGTGAAAATTTCGATGAAAATACCGATATTCCCTTAACATAATTATCTTATTATCTTGTACAATTATTTATTATTTACAGTATAATTATAACGTGATGCTACAAATAAAATAATATAATTTTATATTGTCCAATTATATAAATTTCCGATTTTCGTGTTCGTGCACTTTTGTACAGCATAATAATAAAGTTTTTTCTTAAAAAATTAAATCCGTTTCTTTCTACATAAAATGTCTTCAGAAGATTCCCTTTACGCTAGATATAAACATGGGAAATCTATTTCTATCCCGCCAATCTCAGCATGGTCTTTAGGAGGAATAGGATCCGTCCCGGCTCCGTACCCTCTGTCATTCAAAACCGAAGGTTTTGTAATAACGAGAAAAAATATCAGTGAGTTTGCTAAAACGTCAAATTAAACTTATAACTTCTTAAAGTTAGTGAAGAAGAAAAGCGTAACAAGTCTGGTTTCGTTGGAGGGAAGAAAATAACACCTACAGAAGACATATTAACTGTACTTTATCGCCTTTTTTTAAAGTTACTTTGGAGAATATACACTCTTTAGTAATATGAATTTTAATTTTTTTATTATTTATTTCAATAATTAAAGTCTTATCGTGAAACCTCAAGTAGCGTTGTTCGATCTCCGAGTTCTACTAAGCAAATGTCAATCTTGGCGCAAACAACCCCCACAAGAAAACCTAAAACACAAATACTAAAGTTGGATTCAACCCCCCCTATTGATTCAAAGCCAACACCTCGTCCATCCAAGTTACCAGGTCAGACTTCATTTTATGGACACACATCATATTATACTGATGAATCGTCATTCCGAGCGGAAAGTTTAACCGGTCCAGGCTTTGGTGGTTTGAAACGTTCATCACAAGTCACTCTCTCGCAGTTCGATGATAACATTTATGTCAGGTTAGTAATTTCAGGTATATAAGTATATTATATTATTGTTCACACACATATTAATCACACTATTAATTGAATAGGGAGGATCCATCAATTGCAACAACATTTGATCCTGATAAAGATAAATCGTTGTATGATATTTCTCTGAGTCTTTATCGACAATTCAGCAATAGAGATATCTTAGATTCTGAGGATATATTGAATGAAGATCTTAAGAAAAATTATTGATGTCTCGTACATACATACATATATTTTTTTAAGATCCAATTCAATGCAACATTTGATCCTTAAGATATGTCCTTAGGTCTTTATCGACATCTTATGATCTTAAGAATTACTGATGTCTTTATATATATGTATATTTTTTAATTACTAAATAAACTTGAACTTAGAAATGTCGCCTAAATAAATTTTACCAAAAAGATAATAAGGAATCTGATAACGACGGAAAAACAAATAATATAAGTTTATATTGAATTTCGAACAGAAATTCGATGTAATTAATGTGTAAAATATGATTTTATTATTAAATACTGTATACAAATAAAGATAACTAAAGTACATTAATGTTCACATGGTTTATAAAAGAAACTTATGAAAACGGATTACCTGCTATATAATCTTAAATTAATTACGGATGATCTTTCTAGTATCCTTCCCATATTGGTGCTATAATTTAATTAATTTATTGAAAGTACGTTGTACCAAGAAAATGTCATATATTGTATAACATTTGAAATATTTCATTCTTCTCACTTTTACCCTTCAATTCTAATATTTGGTAAATAGAGTTAGAAATAAATAATGGAAGAGAATTTGGCACAAAGAGAATCTCTTGGTACACAGCCACAGTCACGGTGGCAAAGTTTGACAAGAACTTTGCGAGCTATTCTCCCTAAATACTCCAACAAAAGTCGCTATAATAATGATATTAGTGCTATTCCTTCACAAATAGAAAATTCAGACAATTCTGACCATTTTCTTTTAGTGTCGATATCAAATTCTCAACAGCCACCTTCAAGACCAAAACACCATATTATGTTTATTTTAATTACAATTGTTGATTTAATTGTAATTATTATGTTCTTAAAGCAAAGTTCTTGGAATCATTCATGGGACTTAGTTGGTCTCGGAATATTTCGGATAATTTTGGTGCTAGGAGTGACTTCATCAATTCGGATCAGGGACTTGGGCTGGATACTGGGGGGTGCATGCGGGGTAAGTTTGTCACCCTTGTTTGTGATACCGTTTTTGTTTAAATTAATTTACTAATTTAGACAAACCATTCAATATTAGGCTTCCTCATTGTACATCATATTTAAGGCCTATTTGTTAGTTCAATCTAAACATCCAATTGACTTCGTTTTAACTTCTTTCATTTTCTGTCAAATATATTGGATAACTTTCATTTTAGCAATAACTGATAGAAAAGAACAAACATATTATTTACAAGACAGTAATATATTTTTTGAAGAAGAAGAACATAGTCAATCTAGCCCTTTGAATACACTTCGTAGGGACTTTACGTTAAATTCAAATATACGAACATATGGTGCTACTGTTCATGGTAGTGACAATATTGACACTTTAATTAATGAAGGTGAAATTACTAGTTCAGCAATCGATATTTTAGAAGCTAGAAGAGATTATAATACTATTAAAATATCCAATACTTCTGCTTCCACATCATTACCGATCCCAATCGCATCATCTGCAGAAAGAAGTGACAAATCATTAAAAGAGAGATACAAGAATAACATGAAGTTACAAGATAGTGAATTTCCTTTGCATAAACATAAGAGTAAAAATGTTGCAGAAGATGATGAACAATTGAACGGACAAAACAATAGCACTTCTAGGAGATATCCAACTAAAGCTGATACTGATTATGATTATTTGTTAAATGATGATTATGGTGATGAAGGATTGATCGTAACTTCTATTGGATGCGGTGAAAGTGTTAGAGATCGATATTTTCAACCATCAAAAGATGATTTACTTGATTTTAAAACACCTGCTTTAAATGATGAATCAGGTGATGAAAATGATGAATCCTTGTCGGTGAACCATAAAAAACCTATTAAATTTATTGAAATTAATTCTAATGATAAAAAAACCTCAACTTCCTTTGAAAAACCTTATATACGTAAATACCCAAGTGAAAGTTTGGGAAATTTTCATTATGAAGATGATGAAGAATTTAATTTTCAGTCAAATTATGCAAGAGGAGATGGTGATTTCGTTGGGAGTGCACCAGTTGGGAATGGGAGGTGGTCTACTTTGAAAAGGAAGAAAATTGAGTTAGATGCCAGTAAAAATTTGAATTATATTGATGGTTCGAAAGGCAAAGAAATTTCTGAATCAGAAATCATTAATAATGATTATGGTAAAGAAAAAAAGAAATATGAACCTATTATGTCCCCTAATTCTAGTTTACTAACTGCTGCATTTAGTTTTGAATTAACTTTGCAAAATAATTCTAAGACCAAATCACCTGAAAAATCTAATGAGCAAGCACAATCATCCGAAGCAAATGATACAGAAACATCGTCTATATCAAAGAACCGTCCAGATTTGTCAATTACACTCCCATCTACTGTTTTTCCGGTTAATCAGAATAATTTTACACCAAAATCATCTTCACCTTTAGCTTCTCGCGTTCCAATTTTCGCTTCAACCGAAAATAATGAAGAAAACATAATACAAGATAATAATGATTCCAAATCAGATGTTCTTGTCGGTAAAAAAATTAACAATTTATCGATGACACCTGAAAATGTGGCCAATATTTTATTAACACCAATAGTAGAAGAATCAAATCCATTAACGTTAAAAGGAAAACCGTATTCTTTAAGTACACTCAAGAATTCTAATAGTAATAACATCAACAATAATGATATAAGTGTTATTAAAAAATCGAGTCATACTCGTGAACCTTCAAATTCCCTTCAAATGTTATTCGCTGATATTCAGAATAATAATGAGAAAAATTCAAACAATTCAACTAATAAAAATAATAATAATAATAATTTAGGAATAGATAATAATGAAAATAACCAAACAATATTTACAAATAGCTTTAATATAGCAGTAAAGAAATTTTGGAATAATGAATTTAGTGAAGCGGAAGGAATTTTTAATAGGTTTAAAAATTGTATACCAAGATGGAATGTCACTTACGCTGAGATGCAATTGGTCAAACATTTAATGAAAGGTCAATCATTAGATAATGAAAACCCAGAATTATCAAATGCTCTTATGGAAGCTGAAAAACTGGCCATAAAAGTTTGTGAAAATAAGGATGATTTTGTAAGATATATATGGCTTAGATTAGCGATAATATTTTAAATTACATGAAACTAATTTAAGTTTTATTTTATTTTGTAGGAAACATCATTCTCACTGTTCAGAACGGATATATGGAAGGCATATATTAGACCAAATAATAGTCCATCAGAAGATGAAGCAGGATTCGCGTCATTACGTGCAAATTTTCGATGGGATTGTGAATTAGCAATGGCAGATATTCTCCTTTTCCATGCAATTTTACAAGTTGTTGGAGGAAGTGAAATTAAAGGGGCATTTAACTTACGTAAAGCATGGAAAACTTATTCAAAAGTTCGTGACGAAATTGATCGAATTAAACGTGATGCGGGAAAAAATGATCATAAGCATGAATTAAGTAGTTCAAGTAATAGGTGGAGTCTTGGAAGTGCAATATTAGGAAGAGGAAGTATAAGTAATATGGTTGGTTTTGGTGGGAATAAGAATCAAGATGGATCAAGCGCTACGCTTGATGGGATTAATAATAATGTAGAAATATACTCTGATATTGAAGATTGTTTGGAATTCGGAATTGGAGTCTTTTATTTTATCTTGTCAATTGTTCCCGGTTCATTTCAATCAATATTAAAAGCGATTGGATTTAATGCAGAACGTGATGAAGGTATCCAAATGTTAGAAAATTGTTATCTTCGTGATGGTGTTAGAGCACCTTCCGCGGCGTTTTTCCTTCTCGTAAATTATTTATTCCTCTCGCGTGGACTTGCTGATCCAACATTGTCATTAAACAAAGCCGGTTCAATCGTACAGGAATGCGTTAAAAAATATCCGTAAGTTATATATTTTAAAAAATTAATATATTTTTGATTTTATTAAATAATATTTTCGAATTTTTATTTATACAGAAAAAGTTCACCATTTCTATTTATGGCATGTCAGCAAGCCAGAAAGACCGGACAAATAAAAGAAGCATTAAATCACATAACAAATGGAATATATAGCTGTGAAATGATTGGAGTAACAAGTACAAATTATAGATTTGAAAAGGGGATGACATACCTAATAAATCTTGATTTTACAGCAGCAAAAGACATATTTGAGTTATTATTTTATGGTAATACAATAGTATTTACAGGTAAAAATGGATCCATAAGGCTTCATGGATCTATTCGTGGATCAATACATGGATCTTCACGTTTGCTTTCAAAGGATGGAAGTACAAAGAAAGATAATTCATTATTGAAATTCTTTGAATTTGAATTAAGACCATTTTGTGGATTATGTTTAGCAGGATGTTATCTTATTCTTAAATCAAGTCAAATAGCTATGAAAGAAGCTTTGGATGTCCTTAAACAAACAAAAGCTATGACAAATCAAAATAATGAAAACAATAGCATAACAAATAGTATTGGATTATTAGGCACAAGTGCAAGCGGATTGGTTGGATTTGGAGTAGGAGGAAATAATAATTCTGATAAAAAAGAACCAAAAACCAATAGATATAATAAATTTGCCGGACGCCATTCTGCTAAAGATGTAGAAAATAATTCGGTTACTCCATTTTTAATATTTATTATATTATATTTAAGAAGAGACATTTTTTATATGCCTTTGGAATTAAAAAAGAGATGGGCAAATTTATTAGAATCCACTTGGAAAAATTATGATAAATCCATCGATCCAGATACTAACGCTGTATATCTACTTATTCGTGGAATATTTGAAAAATTCTTAAATCAAGATGATCCTACAATAGCACAAAAAACACTGTGTGAATGTTTATCGTTGGAAACCGGTATTGTTTCAGAGACATGGGTTATTCCACATTGTAGATACGAGGTAAAATATTGTTTATTTATTTGTAGGTTTATTTGTTTATTTTACTAATTTACAGATTCTAATCGATTCAATAGCTTGGCGAATTATTTTATAAACAATTTGGCAATCAAGAAGCGGCAACGGAACAATTTAGATGGATATTAAAAGGTCCGAGACCAATATCACGTGGTGGTGGATTAATATCACGTCGAGATAGTATAGCATCAATAGCTTCTAGAGCATCAATTGATTCTAATTCATCAAGTTACGGAAATAGTAACCCTGATAGATTTAAAAAATATGAATTCTCAAAGGTTCTTAAAAATCGTTGTACTGTTGCAACTGATCAAATAAGAGCAAACATTATACAACCAACAAACATTCTTAATAATAGCAAGTTCGAACAACCACCATCTTCAATTCCTCTTTATCATAGTCGAAAGAAATCCGGTTCGAGTTCAAGTTTATTAAAAGAGATACAAGAACAATCTCTATTACAAAAACATCATCGGAGACAATCTTCTACTGATATTAAAGTTGGAACTCCTACTAATACTGAAAATAAAAAGAGTGGTAAAAATGATACGGTACTTTCTTCTCTATTTGTTAAGAGACATAAGCCAAGATCATTGAGTTTACCTACTAATGAGGATAGAGGAGATCATAGTGATGATAGTACAAGTAGTTCTAAAATTAATAGTAAAGGCGGATCAAAGGGTAAAATTTTCGGATTCAAACTTAAATAAGGCCTGTTAAGTTTTAAAGTTTTGTTTATTTTATATATATATATATATTTATTTATTTATTTTATTTTATTTATTTAAATTGTTTTAAATGTATTTACTGATTATAATGTATATATAAAATATTATTAATATTATTACATAATTATTTAAAAAAAAAATCATTTTATTTTGGATGAAGAATTTAATTTATAATATAATAATTATTATATTATGACTATATATTGACATATCTTAAAAATAAATAATTTAACCAAAATACTTAACAAATAAATATAGTTTACAGTTTATAGTTTATTCATTATTATTATTATTACTATTATTGTTAATAACAACAACATCTTCAATGTCATCATCAACGATGATAACATCATTTTCTGCTTCATTATCACCTTCATTAATTACATTAATAATTTCTTCAACTATATTAAATGATCCATTTGAATTATCATCAGTTTGGGCTAAACTTTCTAAAGCAGATATAGCCAATTGGTCTTTTAATTTTTCAGCTTTTAAACATTCATCACATTTAAAATTAGCTTGAATATTACCATTATCAGTACATTCAAAACAACCAAAAACACTCCATTTTTGTTCATGTAAGTCTCCACTACAAGTAATTAAGAAACTGGCTTGTTTCTGATTACAAAAGTCACACCAAGGAACTTTAACCGTAGCCTTAAGATCATTTGACAATTTTTGTAATGTAGATTCTAAAGAAGTTTTTTGGGGGGGAGCCCACCAAATCCAAAAATCATGATCAAGATACCAATAAATTGTCGTTAAGTGGCAAATAGATTTTTTTACAACTGTAGAAAGTCGTCCCTCAACACTCTTTTCTTCTTGAACTTGTACTTCTTGATTCCGTTCATTTACTTGTTCATTTGCTTGTTCATTTGTTTGTTCATTTGCTTGTTCATTTGTTTGTTCATTTGCTGATTCATTTACTTGATCATTTACCTGTTCATTTGTTTGCTGTTCACCCTTTTCACCATATAATTCTTCAAGAAGATTTTTAACGATTTCCATGTCCAGATCCTTATAGGTTCTTAAATGTAAACTTTTAAGATTTATACAATTCTTCAATATAACTTTTAAACTTTCTTTATTAATATTAATGTCATTAATAAATAATTCTCTTATATAGTTTTTTGTGTCATTTGGTATATTATGATAAAATATTTTCGGTATAGTAAAATTGGTAATGTTTTTTAATGAATTTAGATTTAATTTTGACCATAAAATATCATGATTAAATATAAAATGGTTAAAATTTTTACAAACACTTGATAGTATCATTGTACGAGTTTGTAAGGACGTTAATAGTAATATTTTTCCCAATATTTCTGGTGGTAAACGAAGAATCATTTGCTGGTTCTCTACCGAATTTGTTGTATTCATCGTTAAAACTTTGATCTGAGAAGTGTGGTTATAATTCATAGCTTCATTCATTCATATTATTTTTAAAATCATATGATGTATTTACTGCGGATTATGACATTTATGTGCATTATATGAATTATGCGACATCACATAAATAAATGTAGATCATCATTCAATACGCAGCTGTCTGTTGGTAATCATAATGGTAATTACTAGGTAAACTGTAACCATTAAACGCCCGGGATAAAGCGGACGATACGCAGCAGCGGTTACACGGCTACAGAATGGTTAGCGCTTGCAACTTGAGATCAAGAAACACTATACATTTGTTCCTTTTATTAAAAGTCTAACTTTTACTTTCTATTTTTTATTTATTTATTTTATTTTATTTTATTTTTTTTTTTTTGACAATTCCTTTTTTTTTGATTCTACGGACAAAAGAATTTAGAACTGATTGGAAAATAAAAGTGGTCTTTTTCGTTTTTTGTTCCAATTTTAATTAATTGTTTTTAAGTGTTTAGAGTTCTATTGCATCTTTCCTTTTCTTATGGACGAGAACAAGTCACAACCTCTCCATGTTACAGGAATACTCACTTATCGTATACAAAGACAAGTTGAATTTTTATTGTTAAACGATACTTTTTCTCATAAAAAACATTGGACCGCACCAAAGGGTACAGTAATTCGTCAAGAAGACGAAGTAAAGTGTGTATTATTATTAATTATATAGATAAATAGATTAAGACTTAACAGTAAAACCTTTTAAATTTTCTACGCGTCATTGTCTCGTATAATGATGTCTCTTGTGTTCCACGTTAGTTTTGATCTACATTAAATAATCAAAAATAATATAAGTTTCTTTTCTTTATTCTTTTTTTTTAGATGCGCTCTTCGTAATACTATCGAAACTACTGCTCTTTCCGTAAGAGATTTAAGAATTGAAGAAGGCTTTAGAGCTGAAATAACTTATCTTTCCGGAACACGGTAAATTATTTTAATTTATGTTATTTAAATAACTTCTCCTAAAATGTTTAATAAATTTTTAATTGATTTACATTAGACCCAAAAGAGTTGTTTATTACCTTGCACAAGTATCAGATAATGCTCGCGTTTATACTACCGGCGAGGGTCTCAATTTCGCGTGGTTACCCCTTAATCTTGCTATTGAAAAAGCATTATATAAAAGCATGCAAGAGGTTATCAAGAAGGCATCAATTTTTATTGAAAACAATAAACTTAAAAATACTGAACCTTCACAAAGGTCTAGATCTGATAAACATCAAATCACCAGCGATAGGTTAGATCATAAAATGAAGAATTTAAATTTGGCTTTACCTTTAGATTCTCAACGTCAAGCAATGTCTGAACAAAGGCTTAAGCTTGCACGCAAACAACGTCAGAATCAGAATCAATCCGAAAAAAATAGTAATGGAAATGGAAATGGAAGCGTGAATAATAGTAACGGACTAAACAGTGGTTACGCATCCCCACTTCATTCTCCTGTTATGCAATTTGAAAATCCGCTTTATAAAACGAGATTATGTGAACGTTTTGAAACCGAAGGGTATTGTCCATATGGAACTAAATGTACTTTCGCTCATGGTACCGTTGAGTTAAGAGAGAGACCAGCAAATGTTGAAGAGAAAACTGATAATTCTTCTACTGTAAAAGATGGACCTGAAAATCCTTTGTACAAAACTCGTTTATGCGAAAGATTTATGAAAGAAAATTTTTGTCAGTACGGGCCTAAATGTAATTTCGCTCATGGGGAACATGAGTTGAGAGATAGACCAAATGCTATTCGTGGGGATAATGGCAGCGAACGTGAATCTCCTGAGCCTCATCATCAAAATCAACGTTCTACTAATCAACAGCATCATCAATCTGAACAATATCATGGTCGTTATCAACATCCACATCATCAAGCACGTCTTAATGGCGTTAATAATAATGATCTTGAAAAGAGAACTATTCCCGCAAGTCCTGGAATCGGTGGAGGGTTTCGTTCTGAAATTCAGAATGGTATTTTAGGGCGTATTCCAACGATAGTGAATACCGATTCGCATTCTACGGGACATAATGGGTAATTTTTTTTTTTTAATTTAATGTTATTAGCATTATGTGAACGATTTACATCTTGCAATATATTTTGTAAGAAATTATTGTAGTTAGACGTATATCGAGATATTCGTGCAATGAATCGTATACATATTCTTTGATATATAACACGCATAATAGTTTTTATAATGCCATTGTCCTAATATACTTTTTAAGACTGTTTGTTGTTCTGTCTTTTTAGTACTCATGTAGAAGAATCCAAATCCGAAACAGCTGAAGAAGATAAAAAAGTGGAAGAAACGCAAAAAGAAAATAAGGTTGAAAATGAACACGTTAAAGAGCCAAATAATAGACTGAAAGAATATGAAGAAAATTCTGAGACAAGGAATAAGGATTCGTCTACTGCATCTTCTACTGTGTCTAAACCTACCAGTAACTCCAAACGTCGTGTTAATGTTAGTGTAGATGAAAAGGTAATTATTTCCTTGATATATAAAGATTACATTTTTAAATTGTAATTACTTACTTTTTCACTTATTGATGAAGCCATGGATGCAAGTTGTCGAACTTTCAAATGTTGAACTTGAACGACTAGGAAAGATGTAAATAAATATTTTTATAGTTGTTAGAATCTGTATTTGCGTGAGAAGATCTTACTTTTCTAAAACTTATTTATTTTTAAACTATATATTGACAAAATTTCCACCATATTCTAGTAAAAAGGCTGATCATGTACCTAGTTCTCCAGATGATAATATTATTACAGATTTGAAAAAATTTTTTATTCAATCAAGAGAACAAAATAAATCAATTTCTGACGAAATTAAAGAAATCACTTTAATTGAAACAAGAAAAGATTTAACAAAATCTCAATTATTTAATATTTTACTTCCGAGCATGTATGACGATATGTCATTGGAAGTTGTTAATAAAGACTTAGTACAAAAAGAAAAATTATTCAAAACGGTATGTTGATTAATGAATTCCTAATAGTTATTACGATATTTCTTCTGACTAAAAGTTGCTTTATATATTTTTAGTTTATACGGGGAAGTCAAGATCAAATCATGTTTTTAAAATCATGGGAAAAATATTTAAATACTCGGAATAGTAAATTATTACCAAAGGCTACTCATATTTTTAAAGCCATTTACGATAAAGATTATGTTGATGAAGATTCCGTGTTGGAATGGTATGAACAAGCGAAGGATACTAGTGAAGTAAAGAAAAAATGTGCTGTATTTATTGAATGGTTAAAAAATGCGGAAGAGGAGGAAGATGATTAGAGTGGAATTAGAGACCAATATTCATAATAATTTATATATGTGTAAGTCATATTGAAACATTTTTTTTTTACTAGTCTATATTTTAACTTTACTATCCTATTTTTTTTTTCTCTGCTTTATAACCATTCGTGGTTGATATCCTTATACCTTATCATCATTAAGCAATAATTATATTAAATAAAATAAGTAATTTTGAATTTTAATAAACCGATCACGATGTAAAAAGTGAAAATGAAATTTAATTTATTAAAACTAATTAATATTGTCTATATATGTATAATTAACAATAACACCAACTCTTATTAATCTAAATTACTTTTAATTATAAAATTCTAGTAGATTATTGGTTATTTACAATTAAAAGCTAAAGAAAGCTAATTACAATAAATTAATTTTTCTATAGCCAATCAGACAGAATTATACTGTATCAATGTCTCAATGTCTACCCGACATATTACTTTTTAAATCTCTTCTGCTACCAAATTTAAAATTTTTTTTTTTATTTAAACAATTTTGTTTAATGATAATAAATTACTGTTGTTTTTAAAGAGGATAAAGAGAATTATTACATACAAATGATAAACACTTCAATTTTCATATATAGGTCCCTCTTTAGCAGCACGCCATAACTCATCGTATATAATTTTGATATCTTTCTCCAATTGTAAGTATTTTTGCATTAATTTGTTAGCTTGAGAACCTTCCCCGAATTGTTTCTCAATCTCTCTTAATAAATCATGATTGGAACCCTTACTAACATTTTTTATCGAGCTTATATAGGTATTATAACAACTTTCATATGCACCAAGATCATCAATTACTTCTTGAATGTCATTTTCCATTTCTTCACAAATTTTTCGTGCCTGTTTAAATTCTGTTAATATTGTTATAGTTTGTCCAGGTTTCCACTCTGATAGCGCTGGTTGCCCGTTTGTTTTGCCTTTGCCTTTCTTACTAGAGGAAGATGTAGTCCCTTCAGACATTGACAGCTGATCGTTATCATTCTTGACAGTAGCAGATGCCTTAAAAGCCGTTGTTGAAGTCCTTGTCGCCATGGTATTGTTAGTTTTCGCGCCACGTGTTGTCCTATTTGTTACACCAGCAGGTCTTCCCCTCTTTCCTCGAGCGGCCGTCGTCGACTGAAATGTACTTACTTTTTGTGCGTCAGGTATTGTAGTTTTTGCACCTCGACCTCGTGTTGATTTTCCGCCTCCAGTGGTTTTGCCGCTTCGAGTTACGTTACCTCCTCGAACAGAAGCGGTCGTTATTGTTGATTCGTCATTGACGTCAGTCACTTCTGTAACCACGGTTGTACCGATAGACGTCTTTGTTCGACCACCCCTTGTCTTTCCACGAAGAGGCTTACTGCCGCGAGTTATATTCGAAAGCTGTGACGAAACTTTGCTTGAAGATAAATAGGCCACCGGTGGCGATTGCTGGACCTTTATTGAAGATCCGGCGTTATTCTTTTGACGCTTTGATTTAGTCTTTCCTTGCTCTGAAGGGATCTTGTTAATTTCGAGAACTTGCACCCTAATTAAAATAATCGATTAAATAATGAATTAATAAATAAGATTATAATGTAATAATACACTTACCTCCTTTTCCTCTTTGACTCCTCTTCATAACTCTCCTTCATCATCTTTTTGATAGTAAGATCTCTTTTAGCGGCTTCATGTGATTCCATCGTAGTGCTAACGCACCCAATAATGTTGCCAATTGGCTCTACAATGTTATCATTTCTAATGTAAATCATCTCGACCTTCTTAGGACTAGAAAGATTTAATTGTATTTTCTCGCCTTCGCCGGCATCGATCTCCTATTTAGGGGTTAAATGAAATATAATAAATAAAATACTTGGTCAAATGCAAGATATAAATTACTTATAAAAATTTGAACTTACCATTTTGTCGGGAACGTTAGAAACGTTTATTTTCATTTGGATACCTCTTGATTTAGCAGCTATCAATTTCTTAACAATTGCATTGGTTAGGCTTACTTTGTAAATCTTCTTTTCGCCTTTTTTTGAACTATTTTTCTCTATACTATCATCTCTAGTGCGAAGTAGTGGGTCCTTTCCTTTCCCACGGTTCGCCAGACCCCCACGAGCTACTACTGTATTTCTTATTGGTGAAGCATCACTTCCTCCGCGAGCTGTTAATGTGTTTATGCTTTTGGAAGTTGAGGAACCACGACCTGAAGCACTACCACGAGTTTTGCCTCCGCGAATTGAGGAGTCCCCACGGGTTGTACTTCCACGGACTGTACTTTTTCTCATTTTATTTTGGGATTCACTACGAAGTCCAAAAAAAAACTCATTTACTTCTCACTCAAAAATTGAAACACAATAGTTACCCTGAAGGAGACAAATTGTGTTTGTAGATGACCTGAAATGAGGATTTAAATGTCCCTTAGCTTTTAGAATTTCTAGTTTATAGGAAGTTTTCAAGTATTTTATGATAATTGTGATGATTGAGTTTTGTCAGTAAAGTTCTAACCATTAGATCCTTCGAATTCTTTTATCACAATTAAAACATCACGTGCTGCAACGTGACATTCAAATACACGAATAAAAAAAAAAAAAAATAATTTACAAATAAATAAACATTCTATCTATAAATGTATAAATAAGCATCGCCAAACATATCATTTAACATATTTAACATTTAGCAATCCTTCTACGGCTTATGACATCAAAATGTCTATCAGTCATACAAGAACAACGAGTTAAATCCACCTTTTTTAAACTAGCGCGACAAACCGAAAGAAAATGTTCTAATGATCTCTCAGTAAAAGTCCAACCTCCGATATGTCCATCCCTAATTGTTAAAGAATGCAATGCAGCTGGAACAAGAATCCCTAATTGTGTTAAAGATTCATTTGCATCAAAATCATCACCACTAAATGAAAATTCTTTAAGCTGTTTACAATGACTAAAAAGAAGCAAAATTTCATTTATCCACAGGACTGGTAAATGAAGAAATGAAATATTTGAACATTGCTTAGCAATCGATTCAATTATTTGCGAACCATCTTTTGGATCCGCTCGAATCCACCATAAGGATATCTTCTTTAAACTACTCTTTGTATTATAAAATATCTCTTCCCAAAACTCATGTTGCGGAAGTGGATAAAGAGGATTCCATTCGTTGCAAAAGTCAAACTCTTCCAATTGTAGAAAAGAAGTTAATGGCATTATTCGATCATCGGGAGGAATGAAACAATTATGAATTTTCAGTGATTTTAAATTTTTGCAAGCGGGTAACAACATTATACTACAACAATCTTGTTCTTCTCTAAAGTCCGTATACATTAATTCTAGAGTTTGTAAAGTCTTCGATTGAGAAATAAGAGAATCCACTAAGAATGCCACTAAACGTTTGTATCCATATAAACAAATACTTTCTAAGCGTGTTTGACTTTCGATAAGAGTAGCGTAACTCATTGCGTCAGAATCATAATGAGTTTTCCACTGTATTGTTAAGGGAAACCCCACGAAAATCCTACGTAATTCCGAGCAGACCTTTGATATAGCAAGTAAAAGTTCGGATTTGTTGTCACCTAAACAAATAAGCTCCCGTAGATTTGCTAAGTAATTCGAACTATCTGAAGTGGAAGGCAAAAAAGGAAAATCACTTTGAATGGCTCTACTATGTAAAAACAGATCATGAAAAATCCTACACCGATTCTTAAAGAGATTACATAATTCTCTTGCTACAAGAATAGTTTTTCTTTCATTCTCTTCACCGACACAATCTTCGACACGATCCTCTTGGTGTTCGCTATCCGGTTTGATTTCTTCCTCATAATTTAAGACACGATATAGCCAACAAGATATTAACCACTGTGAAATCGACCAAAACATGCAATCATAATCGAGAGCACGTAAGAAAGAAGCATAATCAAAAATAGGTGAAATTGATGTAAGATGGTATCTAATACCATTATTATACAAGACTTTCTTTGATTCTTCTGGTAAGCAAGCAACATAGGTTTGAATCAAATTTGTCGCTGAGGTTTGTGTAATCGAATAACGCCAGGGACGACCCCATAAAATGCTGATCGTATTATGACACCAAAAGCGATTCACCAGCAAACATGAATGCAACGTTTTGTTATCGTCTTCGTTATATGAAATAATTTGCTGTAAACATTCTGCTGAAAGGCCTTGCGCCATGTTTAATGTAAAGAAAAATGGAAGCTCTGAGTTTGACTTTAATTTCGGTTTATAATCTAAATCGTAATTGAATAAACAAACAAGATCGATGTTTCCTATATACAGTTCACCCTCTCTATAGCGAATTTTTATAAAGTGATATAATAAACTCAGTATAGTGAATTTCTCACTATAACGAATTTTAATCTCCAGCCCATGGGATTCACTATAGTGAGGGTGAACTGTAGATGGATGATTTTACGAACATTTTATTCTGGACCAGTCAACTTTTGATTGGCTAATCACTTTTATTACATAAACTCCGCGTTTAATTTTTAGCCCTGTTCAAAATCGTTCGGTTGCATTTTTCGATCAGCCAGAAATAAAGCAATCTTATTGGTAGAAAAAGTTCGATCCAAAAAACCTAAAAAAATATTGGAGGATCGGTCGCGCAAACAAATGCAAGCAGATCCGTCCAATCAAATTAAACCACAACCGACCAAACGATTTTGAACAGGGCTTTTATCTCACTCTTCCTTTATTATGTCAAAATTTGCATTACTACCACCCTTTATACTACCCTGGTTGGAAGTATGAACCTTCCTCTTCTGGGCTTTTCTGGGATTCTTCTTTTTTGTGGTATGTTACTAGCACTTAGTATTTCATATTTCATTTCAGTTTGTATATTTTAATTATTATAATACTAAATGTATTTTTTTTTCTTTTTGATATTATTCTGGAAATCAAGTATTATTTTTAAAAAAATTTTGGAGTTGAGCAAAGTTGTTCAAAAAAGTTTGTAAATTACACATTTATAACATTACTTTTAAAGCTAGTATAATACTTCGTACTTTTGTTTTTTAAACAATTTAATAATAAAATTGCAATAAAAAATAATGTAAAGACCTTTTTATAAAGTTATATATGCAATTTTACTTATTTATTAATAAAGTTTAATGAAATGCACTTTAAAATGATAGTATTAAATACCTTTAAAAAAGGCGTTTCGTAACTTTTTTTTAAGAAAACGCGGTTTGTTTTTTCTTGAGACAAATCACAAATGGTACACAAACCAATCTCATCCAATTAGTTTTGCTGGTCCAGGATAAGCATGTAAAAATTCTCTAGTTCCACATATGTGCTTTTTTGGTTACGTTGAGGAAAGCAAAATTTGTTGTTTAATCGAATCGTCCTGGTTGTGGCAAACAAACTATCTAATTCTTGGCAATTTTGTTCGCCTTTAAGCATCTTGGCTAAAGTTAAATTTTAATATATACAAATCAATTAAAAGGGAGTATGAATATTTTCAAATCATAAATAAACTAACTTTATTAAATATCACATCTTTTTTTTTCTATTAGTTAACAAATTCTATAGTCCAATCTCTACTTATAAGTAACTTTGGGTCTCTAATAATAATGATATCTTTAGATATTTCTTCAACACCGATTCCAATTGAAGTACTCACAATTCCCTTTATATCATTAATTCCCCCTAAACTAAATTTCAATTCTTTTTTATCGTCTATTAAATCATTATAATATCCAATTATTTTCTTTGGTGATTTATCAACTCCAAGAACAATTATTCTTTCTATCCTAACATCATCATTTGATTTAATATAATTATTTTCATTATCTTGAACTTGTTCATTATTAAATGAGGTTGATATAAATTTTCCCGATGTAAAATTAAAATTTCTATGAATGTAATGTCCTTTTAGATATTCATATGTTTTTCCATCGTCTAAATACAATGTTCCAGCTGCTTCTCCCTATATATTTATAATGTAATAATATTAATTATTTTTTTAATATAAATAGTAAACTTTAAAAGAGGTTTTTTTTTACCTTTTTGTTTAAAGCAACCAAGAGCGTAAATGGATCCGAATACATAGCTGATGAAGATCTTCTAAATCTTTGTCTTCTAGGGATAATAGATCCCCCTCTTAAGAACACAGGAATCTTATTCATAAGAATATCCATTTTTAATTTACCAGATCCTTGAACTTTTTTAAATGTATAATAATCATAATATAGCTGTAAAAAATAAAATAAAATAAATAAATAAACACTAAAATAATTTTATGCTCAAATGAGATATAATTACATCGTTTCCTGCAAAGTAAATTTCAGTAGTAGTTTGTCCTTGACTCGTAATAGGTTTGACAAGAAGAGAATTTCCAACGAAATATTGATCTTCCATTGCAAATGTTTCTTCATTATCAGGAAAAACTACAAACATCGGTCTAATAATTGGCATTCCATTAGTACTAGCTTCTTGGAATAAAGTATACCAAAAAGGTAACAAAATATATCTTTGTCGAATAGCATTTCTTATATAACCAGTGTACGGTTCTCCAAATAACCAAGGTTCTCGACGTTTGGTATCAATATGAGCATGTGCTCTAAAGAATGGTTGAAAAGCACCGGTTTGATACCAACGAACTAGTAGTTCAGGTTCAGGATTCCCAAAGAATCCACCGACATCAGCTAAAATTTAAGAACAAGTTAATAATGTGATACCAAAATATAATAATGATTCTGATTGACTGACCTCCTGAGAATGGCAATCCAGAAATACCAATAGTCAATAACATTGGGGATGAAGCAGCTAGATGGTCCCAATTTGCGGCAATATCACCCGTCCAAATTGCACCAAATCGTTGACTTCCAGGAAAAAATGATCGAGAAAGTACAAAAGGACGATGATTCGGACTTGTTCTGTTAATTAAACCTTGAGATGTCGCTGCATGCTAAACAAATATCAAAAAAATAAGCGACTAGGATATTATTATTAAACAAAACCGTATTCAATAAATTAATATTCACAAAAGTCATTCCAAAAAGGTTATGTAAATCGCGATGTTCCCATCCTTCATAATGAAGAAGATCTTTCGGCATTGTAATTTCAGGTCCACTAAAAATGGAGGGCTAAATTGATTTTGAAAAGAAACGAATTGATTATTATATAATTCGTTACAATTTTATAATAATTAATTGGTAAGTTACCTCATTCATATCATTCCAAATAAATAAGAATTCGGTCGAACCCTTTAAAATAAATAAAGCTATATAAGGTAACTCAAAAGGAATTATTAAAACAAGATGACTTACCTTATATTGATCAAATGCAAATTTTTTGGCAAACCACTCTTGAGCTTTTGGATTAGTCCAATCAATCCAAACTGAGCTACCAGGCCAACACCAGCCTTCAAATATTTTACCATCTTTATCTTTGGTAAGAATATCCAAATCCTTAGCTTCTTTATAAATATAATAATTATCGTCTCTTTTTACATGTGGATCTACGATAACAACCATCTAGCGGAATAAACACAGATTTATTATTAAATATAACTTAAAATAAATAATTTTTCGCTAACTTGGATATAATTACAATAACATTATACTTAAATAATTTTGTACTTACGTTTCTCCCTTTCCTACCAATATCTCTTTGCATTTTTTCAGGTTCTGAGAATTTTACTTTGTCCCATGTAAAGTATCTTTTGTCATCGGTATGCTCAATATCCAACCAAATTACATCATATGGGATATCATATTTATCAAAACCTTCGTCTACTTCGGCTACATCATCCTGATTAAGATAATTCCAGCGACATTGATGATAACCGATTGCAAATGATTGAGGTAGAGCAGTGAATCCGGTAAGCAACCCATATTGCTTGAATATGTCAGATGTAGTTGGTCCAAGAAAAGCAAATACATCAATAATACCAGATTCAGAAAACCAATGTGTATGCGTTGAAGTGGGTGTGGATTTTCCGAAACTGAGGAAACCCTAATTAATTATAAGTAAATAAAGTAACTTAATATTAAAAAAAAAAAATATCACGTTTCAATCATCAGGGTATTTTACTTTGTCATCTTTGCTTTTGACAATATCAATCCACGTTTCAGCTGCATTGAGCCATAATATTGCAGTCGATGCTCCCTTGCGATGTGCCAACAAAAATGGAATCGAGCCATACAAAGCTGCTGGACTATCTAAGTCAAATTCAAATACATCCAAATTATATAATCGATACGGTTCGTTATATGCGCCATCTCCTCCGCTATAAAATATAAAATAAATAAATATTATAATATACAACTTTTGTTTTGATTATTGTGAATATAATACCGTGTTTCCTTTAATGAAAGAGTTGATGCGTGTTCAGGGATACCATATACGTGGCTAAACCCGGGGAATGAGATATCGAGACCAATAGACTCGGGCCCTGTTTAAACATACGTTCCCAATTTATACTTGCAAACATAATCATTAATTATAGAATTTAAAATTACCATTTGGTTTTGAATCTAATTTTCCATTAAATGTTTCTTCCCATAAACCTTCCTCCTGCTTTTCTTCTTTTTCTTCCTCGGTTTGTATTTCTACTTCTGCATTTATTTCAGATTGAATTGTTAATTCCTCAGGTTGATTGGCTGGATCATCTTTTTTTCTTAAATGTTCAAAATTAAAGAATCCACGATTATTAAATATAATGACTGGCTCATCATTAACCAATAATTCAACGTGAAATGGGGTATGATGTATTATAACTTTATGATTCCTATCTACCCCGAAAGAAAGAGATGTAACACCATCCTTTCCAGTTGAAGGATTTTCTGTGTATTCCAAAGTATTTAAAGGCTCTTGAATTAGAGACCAATATTTTGCCCCATCATATCTTGGTTTTAATGGATATTTTTCATTGATTTTGATTCTAGCAATATTATTTATTAAAAGATGAATTTCAAAAATAAAAGAGACTTTATTGTCAGTATTAATTAATTCCCCTGAAATAATTCCATTTTCTATATTAATTGTGTCTTTAACTACATTATACGGTGAAATAAACGAGCTAGAAGTAGCTTTGTCAGCATATGCACGATTTCTGCGACAAAATGAAGTCTGCGCACAAGTTCTAAAGTCTTGTGGCTTCATTGAGACCACTACATTTGTAGCCATAACAATAAAACATATAAATAAGAAAAACTGTACTGTAAAACGATTCGAGTTTTTTCCGATAATACCAAGGCACATCTTATATTTTTAAAATATAACGTAACAAAAAATTTGATCTTTATACTTGTATCAGTTGTATGCAATAAAATTTTTTTATCACGTGTCTATCTATTATCTGTGTACTGTGCGACAATATCTATCTAAATTCCTTTGATCATAAAATTTACATATTCTATTTATTTTCTGATCTCGATAATTTTTAATTTCACTAATTTCTTTTCTAACATTTTGTTCTAATTTTGATAATTCAAGCTATCTATCTTCGTTTTCGCAAACCCTGAAAACCTTCTTTTATTAATTAAAAATATGGAATCTGCGGTTGTTTCTGTTTTGGACTCGTTGTAATGTTTCCAAACTTTCGTTAAAGAATTTTATCATGCTATTTTTATTGAAATTTTATTAAGCATATATCTTTTTATTTAGGATTAAATCCGAAGAAGTAAAGGGAGTACTAATAGCAGATGAGCATGGTTTGTGCCTAGGAGGTATTTTTCGCAAGATTTCGAACATTTTTTATTTTAAATTATATATTTAAACTATCTCTAATTTGATCACAAAAACTTTTCTAAATAAGCAAAAGGAATAGTAAATCCAAATTCAGCAGGATTCATATCAGCAATTGCAACACATGCAAAATCTTTACATGATGATCCAAATATACAAGCTCCTATTATAAAAATTGAGACTGAGAAGTTGTATGTATTTTAAATAAATATGTTTTTTAATTCATTCTTTTTTTTAAAATTTTAATGGTATATTGGTATATTTAAAATAGGACTATTTTAATTCAAAATAATGGAAATTATACATTAGCTGTATTTAAGTAAATATTTTATTTCTATAAATTTAATTAATAAATTTTAGTTATTTAAAATCATTTTCTTATAGATATTAAAAACATTAATTTTATATTTGTTAAATACAATAATTTTAGATAAATAATTAATATTATAAAATTTACATTTTTATAAATAAATCCAATATTTCACTATAAAAAATTTAATGCAATACTTTTAATTATCACTAATCAGCTTTATAAACTATAATTTAATGATTTTAGCTAAATACAATATTCAATATATGCAAGGATTATTATATAATAAATGTTAAACTTAACAACTTAACAAATATTTATTCTTTTTATCCTTTTTTTTATATATATTTTTGCATTTATACTTCTTTTTTAATCAAAAGTTATATAAACAACTAAAATTAATATACAGCTTATACAATTAAATATATTTAAATTGACATCATTAGTTCATCTGATTTTACCAAATTCCAAATAATTCTAATGATAAATTTCTTTAAATATTTATAAATCAAAAAAATTACATATTAATCTATATTATTTTTAGTTAAAAACCTGATTTGATTAATTGGTATACAATTTAAATTTAAATTTTTTATAAATTATCTTGGTATATTGATGATTTTTGCCAGTAATTTAAGTGGTCATTTTTCTAATTTCAAATAGTATAGTAGTCACAACAAAATTCAAGGAGAATAATGATAAAATTTATATATTTTATATATAAATGAATTTGATCTATTATATATTTAACAAAGTAAACCAGTAAATGAAAATTTTCAATCTACAATAATGTGTTATTGATGTAATTATATATAAGGTTGAGGGTGAATTGATGTAAATAAATCTAAATTGTTCATTAAAGTTTTATTTTAGTTTGATCCTAACTTTTTATCGTGTTTTTCGAGCAATGTCTTTTGGTTTATTGTTTGCAAATAAAAATTTAAATATAATTTCAATCAACCATGCGCCGAAAAAATCAAAAAGCATAGTCCCCACAAGTTTAAGTTTGAACTATAAATGAATAAATAATAATTAGTCACAATTATAATAAATTAACATAACAAAACATAAATATTAGAATATTAATTACATCATTTATAAGAGGAACCAGTTTTAGCATGCTATTCAGTTCGGGAACAAATTCTGTGGCTCCAGCGAAAGCAATTCCGCCTACAGTAAGTAAACCATAGTAAAGAGCAGTGTTCTCTTTTAAACTCTCTCTGAAAGGATGTCCCTATTTGATTAAGTTTAATAAGCAATTAGATCGTTTTTCTAATAATTCATTATATCGTATCACTATATATAAGTTGTACCTGATAATTGATAGCAAATGTCGAAACTTGCATAGATAACGATATTAAATATACTGCTGTGTTTAATAAACTTGGTTCAAATTCACCTTCCAAATCGACGGGTTTTCTCCTAATGAATTGAAGAAGATCAAAATCATATAATTTTAAATAAATTATCTTATCAATGCTATGTATAAACACTTACTCTTCATGTTTAAATACTAGATCAACTATGAAAATTAGTGAGGCAATGTGGATTGCAAATTGACCCAAAATAGAAAGGATTATATAAAAATTGAAAATGTTGGTTTGCGGTCGTTGTTCGCTAAGTTTTTCCAAAGGCTAAAGTGATTAACAAATAGATATTTTTACTATCAAGTTATATAAGAATTAATCAATATAAATCTAGGAATAAAATTCTCACCCTAGCTTTAGAAATACAAAGGAAACAAACAGCAAGTAACATTCCAGAAATGGTAACTTGCCTAGGGATATAATATAAATCACATGATTAGATGCGTATCACTACTGAAATAATAAAATGAAAATATCTTACCAGTCGTCATATTTAATTCCATCTAAATACAATACACTAAGAGTATAAGCCGAAATCAAACAGTTTAAGGCCAAAATTTTGTACATTTGTATAGTTGCGACTAATGTACATCGGCCTTGACGTACAATATTTGCGACTTAAAAAAAATTTAATTTAGTTCCAATATTACACTAAATAACGTGTGAAAAAATATATTTTATCCTTACTAGCAACTACGTTTGAAAGTTTTGAAGTAAAAGGAGCGGCAACAGATGCATCTCCTAATTTAATAGTCGGAGGCTCATCATCAAAGTCTTGTATTAATTGTTCAGCTATTTGATCAACCTGAGCAGGTGCACGTCTTGGAGCTGCTGGATTCTGTTGTTGCAGTTGTTGAGTAATATGTGGAAATAAATGGGCAATGGCTGCTGGTGGCGGTGGAGGTGGCATATTAAATCTCGCAGTAAATTTCAGTTGATTTTCATACATATCTTTAAGTCGTTGCATACGATGATGTTCGGCAATTTTTTTAAGATCTTCTGGCTTCCCATCAAGCAATGCAACACCTATGTGAGCTTGTTTTAAAGCACCCACGTCATTCGTACCGTCACCACACATCAATGTTACATAACCAGCTTGTTTAAGAACAGTCAATATGAATTCCTGACGAATAATAAAGTGAGAATATTTATTTGATACGGATATATTAAAATAGAATAATTCTCTTTCCCAAAAAATATGTAAATATGAACCTTTTGTCCAGGTGACACGCGAGCATATACCCACGTATGCCTTAGCAATTCTTTAACAGATGGTCTATTTTCATACTGAGATAATGCAGCACCCGTTATACAAATATCATAATCTCGGAATATTGATGGTTCGATTGGTTCGACAGGATTTACGGGTATCATAATTTTTTCGTCAACGGATTTCCAGACAAGTTCTGTTTATATAATTAAATTAGTTTACATAAAACATTAATAAAATGAAAATAACTCAATAAGAATATTGAAAATACCATCAGGATTCTCTGCGTCTTCCTTAATGTCCAATATCAATACATCTCTTTCAACAATTGCCACCTCGCGAGCCACATGACAGGCAGTCAAAGGATTGTCGCCAGTAATCATTATGACCTAACATTGAGGTAGTAAAAAATTTAAATGGAGAATAATTTTACAGTAGTAAACTTACTAGACATACTCGATGTGATGATTCATTTAGCATTTTAAGAGTAGAAACAGCATCTTCCTTAAGCGGGCAATGAAAGATGAGGAATCCCGCAAAATTAAGTTCGTTTTCAACACTTTCACGTTGAAGATCATTAATCTAAAATTAAATGTTCAATTATGAGAATATGAGTGATATTTTAATTAATTTACATTATACCAATAAATACCTCTTCAAGAGACATGTTATCTTGCAAATATTTAAATCCGAGAGCTAACACACGACTCCCACGTCGGGTGAAAAATTTGAAGGTCTCCTCGTAATCATCAGGTACAAAAGCGTACATCTGACGAAGAGTTTCGGGGGCGCCTTTGACAGCAATAAAAGTTTTTTTTCCTCGAGGGGTTGTCACCGTGGATACACTTGACATACGTTTGAGAGCAGATGAAAATTGAAATCTACGACGTATTTGTAATTTAGATCTTGACTGAAATCGCTGTGATTGTTGGTTGGCAGGAATCACGGTGTCATCTGTTAAAGAAAATGTAATAAAAATATTTATAACAATAAAATGTAAAGATGTAAAGATACAAAAACGTTACAAAAACGACTAAAAATGATATTTAATATACCTTTATCAAGTTTCCATTCTAGCGCTTCCAATGTTGCCTTTTCCATTGGATCACCAACAATGTTGTCATCTAATCGAACCAATGCGTGTGCCGCAGCAAGAGTTTGAATTGTGTCTCGGAGGGCTTCCGGAGGTTTCATTAGTATTTTAGAATCATCGGGGCTGAATTATGAAAAAAAAGTCGATATAACATTTGAAGTAATATATGACTTAATGACAAACAAATTACATACTGGATACCAGCAACTCCTTCAACCACGAGATTTTCTCCTGTCAAAGTACCGGTTTTATCGAAAGCGCACACGTCAATTTTTCCAGCAAAAGGAATTCTAAATGGTTCAGTACAAAAGATAGCTAAATGCATTCAATTAATGTGAGTAGAATTTTTCTCTTTTATTTGTTTAGAGACAGTGTACAAGAACTATCTTATATTACCAAATTTAGCTAATGCAACCAACGAAGTGTTAACAGCTAAGGAAAGTTCCATAGGTAACTCTGGAGGTACAACTGATGTTATGATTAAAATACAATCAAGTAATAACTTTGATCTCTTACGATCATTTTCAACACCTAAATAGAGATAAGGTAAAAATTCGTATTTTTGCACTTTAATAAATGCAAGTTTAAATTAAATTCAACGTTATATAGAAACTTACCTTTAACCCAAACATATCCGGCTGCAGAAATAGCAAATATCAATAAAAATAAAATAAATAAGAAGGATTCGAGATTATTTGCAGATACATGCTCTGTGCTGTAAACCATTGTGCGCACGAGTTTACCCTGCGCAGTTCCGAATCCGGTACGTAGAACATAGGCAATACATCCATTGTCTGATGCTGTAAAGGAAAAAATTTTTCATTATTATTTGGAATAACGTTTCTTTTGACAAAAGTAGTCAGACAAACCTAGCGCTGCCTCTTCTTTGGAAGGAGGTGTAACTTGAAGTACTTTAGTACCACCGAATATAAGACTATTTTTATCAATACCATTAATGTCAAGCTCTTCATTACCCTCACGTAGATGTATTGATTCCTAAATAAGATCAAATAAAGGATTCTAATTTTTAGATATTCGCATTGATAGAATAATGTAGTGAACTTATATCCCACCTTCAATAAGGGTGTTGATTCACCAGAAAGCATAGCTTCATTAACTATACAAGTACCATTCACAAGAACCATGTCACAAGGAACTCCACCATCTTCCTTAGAACGAACTATAAATCAAACAAAATTTGATCAATATGATTTTGATTAAAGGTATAAAGTATTAACAAATAAAATTATAATAACCTATAGAAACTAAATCACCAGGTAGTAACTCGTCCGAATTAACGGTTACCCAACGGCCTTTTCTCCTTACATAAATTGGGTAAGGTTTAATTGACATTGTTCGAAATTCAGCTAGCGTTTTCAACCTCTAATAATTTAGAGAATTATTAAAGTAATTTGCAGATAAAAAATTCGTCATAATTTAATATGTACCTGAAAAACAACGGTTGATTCAAACACGACCAACATGAATAATGTAAATAACGAGTAATACCAATACTCATCCATAACCCAGAGACCGACACAAAATAATTGAAAAACGAAGAAAGGAGCAACAGCATGTTCCTTAAACAATTCTCGAAATGTTGGTACTGGAATATCGAACCTAAATTTTTTAAAAAAAATAAATATTTAAATATTTAATATAAACATTTGATTTATAATAAAAAACAATCAAACCTGTTAAATCCATATTTTTCTTGAACTGATTTAATTTCATTTACAGTCTCGAGACCTTTAGAATTTCGAAAAATCGAAATACGAGAATCCATATCAATGGGATAACGTAGTCTGTTAAAAACTTTTTTATCATCATCCCATACATATTTTTTCTTTTGATAGAAAAATGAAATTTCTCCATTCTTTATATACGTAATGAATATAAAGATTAGATATGACGTTAAAAATCAATAGTCTTAAAAATTAAATTGCGAACAAATCATACCCTTGCGGAATTTAGATCACACAATTCTCCTTTCCCTTTATGTGGTGCAGGAATAATTTTGATTACTTTGGCTCTTCGGATATCATTTTTCTGTAGTAATTATAAAGCACTTTCAATAAAGAATAAAAATATAAACCAGAAATATGTTAATAATAATACGACAAATACCGTTTCACATGTAAAACAAGCTTTCGCTCGTACACTCCACTGACAACTTAGGAATATTAACGCATTCATTGTTATCAAGCTCACAAGTGTCAAAAATGTCCATTCTTCTGATGCGAGATATTCTTCATAAGAATAAATATATATATATAGCCATAAACTATATAGACATAAAAAAGGCCATATATATCCATGCCAAAGCAGAGATTTTCGTGTGTGCAATGAAGATTGAATAATGGATTTTGCATTTACAAGGTTCTTAGAAGCCCTAAAATGTAACATTTATTAGAAAATGTATTATAATACATACATCAAAGAAAAGAATATCTTACATTTTGCATATTAGTTTTTTTTAATCGTAACTAAAATTTCAGTGAGCGCAAATAAAGCGGTATCAATTTCCTGAAATTCAGATCTGAGAATATTGATCGCACTCAATTTAGTACTATAATCTATGGGCGCCTTTGCATTCTAAAGTATAACAAAAAGAGTTAAAGAAAAAACAATTACTTACAAAAAAACACTCGATCTATTGAATTACTCTAAATGTTCGAAAGAAAAATTTAATTACTTCTAAACAATCAGATGACGCTAATCAGGTTTTTCCAAATTAGTAAACGGCATTATTATTTTTGTTAAATCAAAATTGTGGAATTTTCCTATTGGCTCGATTAGAGATAGAGGTAGCGCAATCAAAACGCGCGTTTAATACAAATAACTGATGCCGTAGCTTAGTAATAATACATTGCAATTCGAAATCGTAACCTGTATTTATCTGCACACCAAGCAACTAAGAAACTTGATATCTTGATAATACCACCACCGCTACCACCACCATCCAGTATTTGTTCTCCCTCCATACTATACTCTTTAATGATACGACCTCTGATGAGCATGAACTTTCCCAGGATATCCTTGCGACCAACACCGTCTTCATCTGTCAAATGCAAGAAAGAAGTGCAGCTATATACTGAAGAAAATGGAAAACGAAAGATAACAAAAACAATAAGAACACAAAACAAAAAAAAACAAAAAATTGAAATGAACTGTGAATCGAACATTATCAATCAAAACGTATCTGAATCATTTCCAAAAAAAAAGATCTTGAAGATGTCTTGGGCTAATGAGATACGCTTATAATACTGTTGTTAAATGGAACAAAAATCAGGTAAAACCTCAAATACTTAGTGAAAAACTTAAATTATATTTTGATAAAAGAGGAAAAAGATCCTGGCAAAAAAGACGAAAAATTACATGATATAAGTTTGTATCTTTCATTTATGTAAACATATGGGATGATTTTATGTCAAAAAAAGATAGACTGGCATCTTCAACCTCAAAATGAAAGAAAAAGAAAGCATTATATTAACCAAGCTGTTTTTTGTATGTGATGAAAGATTAGACAATTGCAGAATGAAATTTATCAAAAAACAATCAAGTTCTTAACTGATGAATTTGATATAATTGTTATTCTTCCTTTTGAGATTTCTGGCATAATAAATAGAAAAGCACAAAAGATAACAAGAAAAACAATTAGAAAGATATTCATTACAAATTTCAACAACAATTGATTTCAAAAGCAGAAGAGAAAAAAATCCATATGATAATTCAAAATTAGGCTTACATATCAAAGACATGTAGTTGGTATGAAAACATTCAGAATATATATTGGAGAATTAAAAACATATAAATGTAAAAATTGCAGAATAAAATAAATAGAAAAATGGCTTTAAAATTGATTTTTATAGTAATAGGAATTGTTTCTGCATGCAATTAAAAACTGCCTTTTTGCATATAAGGATTTTAATTGGAATACTTCATACATCAGGAAATTATATAGTGCGAAAAGTTGCGCAAGTTTACACATCATAATATTTCGTAAGCTTCCAGATCCGCTGCAAGTTTGCGTAAGCGTAATATTTTGTAACTTTTTAAAATATTCCGAAATATTATGATAGGCAATATTTGTAATATTCTGTAATTTTGCGGTTCGCAATATTTTGTAATTTTATGTAAGTTTTCAGACCCGCCGCAAGTTTGCGTAAGCATAATATTTTGTAACTTTTTAAAATATTTCAAAATATTACTATATGCAAGGCTTCGTAATTTTATGATTCGTAATATTCCGTAATTTTACTGCGTAATACTTTGCAACTTTTTAAAATATTTTGAAATTCTATGATGCATAATGCTCCATAATTTGACGATTCGTACATCAGGAAATTTGTTTAGGCGTAATTTAGTGTAATATTTCGAAGGTGGTGTAAAATTTCGAAACATTACACTAAAAACGTAATATTACAAAAGTTTACGCTCTTAAATTTAAATAATAATAGTAATTTAAGAATATCTCGCTATCTACTGATCCAATCGAGACGATCTATAGCTCATTGGAATCAGCTCATCAAGACGAATTGAATGGTAGTAAAATCATATCTCTACATTTGATAGATGACTTTCTATTAATTTAAAACTTTATTGCATATTATAGAGCGTTCTATCAACTGTAGAAATGCGATTTTACTACCATTCGATTCGTCTTGATGAGCTGATTCCAATGAGCTATAGATCGTCTCGATTGGATCAGTAGATAGCGAGATATTCTTAAATTACTATTATTATTCAAATTTAAAAGCGTAAACTTTTGTAATATTACGTTTTTAGTGTAATATTTCGAAATTTTACACCACCTCCGAAATATTACACTAAATTACGCCTAAACAAATTTCCTGATGTAATATTCTGTGATTTTACACAACTAGTTAATATTTCGTAATGTTTCAAAATATTTCGATAAATAATACTTCATTTTCTGTACTATAAGTTTATATAATGTATGTTTTATTAGATATAATTTTATTAAACCATAAAAAATTACAAGTATTTATTAATATATACAGAATACATAAAAGTAAAAAAAAGAAAAAGTAAAGAGTAACAATATTATTAGATGTAAAAAGAAGAGAAACAGCTATAATAACGTTAGTATTAGATATAAAGATAAAAGAAATATTGTTATTATTGTTAGTATTAAGGTAAAAAGAGTTAAAGAAACAGTAAAAGGAGTAAAAGAAACATGGATATTATCATTAGTATTAAAGTACAAGTAAAAAGGAATAAAGGGAACGTAGTTAGTATTGTTAGTATTATGACATAAAGTAACAAAGAGGTAAAAAAAACCACGTTAATATTAAAATAATTAGTATTAATAAATAAATATTTCTATACCTGTAAAGTAACACAGGTTGAAAAGTGAAAAATCAGGCACCAATCGGTTCCTGATTGGCATTTTCACCAAATACCGTCACCAATCAGGCAGTTTGCTAACTTTGATCCAGTGATCAGAAAAGGATGAAATATAGCTCATTGGAATCGTCTCAACATGACGAATCTAATGGTAGTAAAATCGCATTTCTAGGATTAATACATGATGAGAAATTAAGTAAAATATAAAAATAACAATGTATCATTTATATTTTATTTAATTTTTTATTAACTATTAATCCTAGAGATGCGATTTTACTATCATTAGATTCGTCTTGTTGAGACGATTCCAATGAGCTATATTTCATTCTTTTCTGATCACTGGATCAAAAGTTAGCAAACTGCCTGATTGGTGATGGTATTTAGCGAAAATGCCAATCGGTCACCAATCGGTCACCAATCAGATATCTGATTTGTGACCGATTGGTGACTGATTGATTCCTGATTTTTCACTTTTCGACCTGTGTAATTGAACAAAAGAATAAAGAAATAAAGAGAAAGAAAAAAATAAACATGTTGTTAGTATCATTAGTATCATTAGTATTAAAGTACAAGTAAAAAGGAATAAAGAAAATATGGATATTATTGTTAGTATTACGATATAAAGTAACAAAGAGGTAAAAAAAAATGAAAATAATTAGTATTAATAAACAAATATTTCTATACCTGCAAAGTAATAAATTATGAAATATATGTAAATATATTGTATATAATTAAAGAAATAATAGAAAGAAAAAACAAAAATTAAAAATATTGAACAAAAGAATAAAGAAATAAGATACAAAAATAAATAAGACAAAAAACGTGTGCATGATTAAATGATTAAATCACATGCAAGGATCAGCCTAATTTTGATTGGCCAGAAAATACGATATCGTAAAATTACGGAAATTCACATTTTAAAAAATCATATACATCATACAGAAATTGTATATGCACAATTACTAAATATCATCCCCTCATGATAAATTAAAAATTATCAACACAAATTCAACACAAATTTAACAAATTTAATGAAATTTGGCCAAAATTAACAAATTTTTACCAGAATTATCAACACAAATTAAACACAAATTAAACACAAATTTCAGCCACGATTTATTTATGTCACACCCGTGTTGTTAAAAATTAATAACCATTTTATTTATTAAAACTATATATTATTATGGTAAAAAAAATGCTATTACATGTGATATATATAAAAAATAATATTTATTTCCTATGCAACCCATAATTCTCTAATAAACTATTTACATACTGACCTTTCTCCTCTGTGTTATAAGAGTCAATAGAAAGTATATCATTATCAGCTATGCTATCGTTAGCCGCACCATCATTAGGCCTACCATCGTTAGTCGCACCATCATCAGCCGCATCTGCTCCATCATCAGCTGCTCCATCACCACCATTATCTACATCATTACCATCATGGGAATCATCATCCAAATGTGTAAATTTATCCCTATTTTCCAACTTTTGCTAAAAATCAATAAATAAATAAATAAACTGTAATTCAAATAATTCATATTTTGCAAATTGTAAATTAGTAAAAACTTATTAAGTTGTTGATTATCATTAACTTCATTATACTTTCGCTCATTTGAATATTTTGATTATTAGGATTTAAGTACATTTCACATATGCTAATCGCATACACTATTTGTGTTTTGAGGGATTTTTATTTTCTTTCACAACTTATCAATTATCAGCGACATATATGTCGTAGGTTGCCCATCTTTAACCTTTTTAAATAGATTATTGTAACATCTTTTTACCTCCGGCTTACTCTTCCATTCCTGAATCTTTGACAGACTAGCTTGAGTATTAATAGACGATAATTTATGCCCAGTCACTTCAAAAACAGAATACATAACATTTTTGACTCTAAATGTGAACGTCCCTCGTATGCTTCTATGTTGTTGTACTAACTATTAAAAAAAAAATATTAGTATGAAATTTAATAAAATTCATAATTGCTTTAACTTACAGTCGGGCAATTTTTTTTTGAAAAAAATAATCCATTGATTTTTTTTGAACTGGCGTACATCACGAAGTTAATCAAATGTTAGACATGTATTCATCAAACACAAATTATTTAATAAATGCTTAAATTTTGTATTTACTGAATGCTTAATGTTTTATGAATACCTATTTGTATTTAAAATCAGTATTTAGTTATCATTATAATAGATTACAAATTAAATATTTATCATTAAATACTTTATGATTGCTGCTTTAACAAAATGCTTAAAAAATATTTTAGATTAATACTTATTAATTGCTATGAAAAAAAATACCAATTAAGCATTTGAATTTATCATTAAAAAGGTATAAAATATGAGCATTTAAATTTTATTATTTTTTATATTAAGCCTTAGAGGTTTTTCATTGTACCTTTAGTATAATAATATAAACTTTAACTTAGTGCTCCGAACAGGTCAGGTAATTCTGGTGATCTGATCAGGTTAACCTATTAATCTGAAAATAAAAAAACGTGGTTTTTCACTTTTTATTTATGAAAAATGCTGGGTTATAGCATTTTTCATATTTATTTATGAAAAAAATGCCATTCCGGCATTTTTTTTTATAAAAAATGCTAGTTTATAGCATTTTTTTCATATTCATTTGTAAAAAAATGCCATTCTGGCATTTTTTCACTTTTATTTATGAAAAATGCCAGTTTATGGCATTTTTTCCACTTTTATTTATGAAAAATAATATTTTTAATGAAAAAAAGCCAATCGGCGTTTTTCACTTTTATTACCCATCCTGAAAAAATCAGGTTAACCAACTGACCTGACCTATTTAGGTCAAACAGGTCAGATCAGGTTAGTGCAGTTCGGTACAGGTCACCTGACCTGATTCGACCTGAAAAAAAGTTTCAGGTCTATGGCAAGCCGAGCTGGACTAAACTATCAGGCATTGGGCGGGTGAAAAATCAAGCATGGATTGACAAAATGTTACACCGTGCCTGACATTTTACCTGTTCATGCTTGATATTCATCTGTCCATGCTTGATATTTATCTGTACGTGTTTGATATT